CTTTTTCAGCTACTGTAAAAACATCTGACCAGGTATCTTTAGTGAAAACTAAGGCAGTGTCAGTATACGAGACAAGGTGACCCTGGAAGTTTTTTATATGTGTGATGCTGTTGATGTACACCAGAAACAGTATTGGCCCTAACACCGTCCCTTGGGGCTCACCAAGAGTCACTGTAGACCATCCACTTAACTGATCACCCACTTTGACCCTTTTGTCTTCTCTGTGATAGATAATCTCGCAAGATACTCAGTGGTATGCCTCTTACTCCATACCTGAATAATTTATCTAGGAGTATGTCGTGAGAAACTGGGTCGAAAGCCTTTGCCAGGTCAAGAAAAATTGCTAGGCATTTTCCGACCTATCCAGGGCATCAACACATTTTTTCGTGAAATCAAGTACAGCATTTTCTGTATTGGAATTTTGTAAAAAAACAAACTGTCTGTTGGTTATTACATTATGTGTATTGAAGAGTAGAAGTAGTCTCATTTTAATACTTTGTTCGAATATTTTTGCGAAATTATCTATCACAGATATTGGCCTATAATTTCCTGGGTCCCCTCTATCCCCTGTTTTGTGAACGGGAGTTACGGTAGATTCTTTCCATTGGGAAGGAATTTTCCCTTCACTATATGCGAGATTTATTATGTATGTGAGCGGTTCAAGAATGTGTCTATGAGTTTGTTTGATTGTTTTTGTAGTTATTCTATCTGGACCTGGTGAACAGTTATTTTTTAATTTAGAAATTATCTCAATCAAATCATTATTTTTAACAGGATGCAGAAAGAGATTAGTATGGACAAACGGTTCTTTCAAAAAGGTATTGGGAACATCTGGTTTTTCAATTTTTTCTGCCATTTTCATGCCCACAGATGTGAAGTATTTATTTGAAATATTAGCTTTTTCATTATTCTCGTTCACTAGTTCTCCGTTTGCCAGTTTCATGGGAATCTCTGCAAAAATAATTTCGTCTTCAGATAGACCATCGAAAAATTTATACTTTTACACTCGCACATATTTGCAGAAACATAATTTCAATTTTCAGGGCAAGCTATGATTTTTGACATTATTATTATTGGGAAATTGACCACCATTACTGATTTTGAATTGACTCGGCGTTACTTCACAAACGATAAGATTTCCAGAAAATTCTCAAACACACAATATGTTTTGCTAACACATATCACCTGATGAAGCTACTGTGTTAGCGAAACATGTCGTGTGTTTGAGAATTTTGTGGAAATATTATCGTTTGTGAAGTTTGTATACATTCACCATCACTGAATTCAAAAGCCCTCAATAACTCTATCGCACTTTATCGTTCAAATCAGGGGTACCAAGTAGGTGAACAGGCGTTGAAGTAATTTCACTGTTTTTCAGTAACTACTGGTGGATGGTGGATTACCATTTCATCCTTCGTCAGTAGCATCCATATCATAATTTCGCCTCGAATTCCGCTAAATAAAATGGAAATTATAGATAAATTCCATATTTACAGTAAATAAATGTCTTTAACAGTTGTATATTATGAATAATGTCAACTTACTGAATTGTCTACAACCCTCTAGAAAACTACACCATAACTACAGATCCGTACAATCATTTCAGATGATTTGAGGTATAGAAAGTGAGCATTTTCGATCACTGAACTTGAAGAAAAATCGAATATCGGAAAATATAAGTTAGGTCACCTTCCAGGAAGCCAATGAACTGACTGAATAAGGCAAATCTAATTGCATCAAATGATATCTTATATTGCTAAAAGCACATAATACCCTTCAAGGTTCAAGAAAATCACAGGAGGATTATCGAGATATCACATCAATGACAATATAAATATAGCTTTTTCGTTTGTTCTTTCAAGGCAAGGCAAAATAACCATTAGATAACGAAAAACCATTAATACAAAGATGTTTTTTTTCTGTGACGGGAAAATAGTTTGGCATTTCATCTCTGTTGGCAGGTTTTAAAATGTCACTTTTCATAAATTTCTTTTTTCCTGTGAGAAAAAAGTGAGTACTTTTTTCCCGGATATATATCACATATATATACACTGTTGATGGCTTTTGTTGTGCTATAGTTCCGAAAAATGCGTCAATAATACCGTCTCCGAGAAAGAACTGCGAGTCCTTTTATCTTCTATTCGACTTCGCGGTTACGTATATTACTAAACAACCACTAAATTCGTAATTTTTTAAAATCAAATCACAGAATTAGACTGACAGAAGTGACATCAGATATTTGATTACTTCAAAAGAATGATAAAGATGCCTACAACGCAGGTGTCCCTACTGTTAAAAACTTGAAATTTCACGTCGATAATTTTCAAATTTCAAAATAATGTAATATCTTCTCAATATTGATTCGTCCTTTCTTCTGTCAAAGAAAAAAATAGTGCATTTCACACGGGAAAAATATTAGAATTTTTTCCGTGTATAATAAATAACTATTAATCGAGCTATTAATATTTGTATCATCGCGGTTATTTAAAAAAGATGATGTATTCACTATTACCATAATTTCGCAAACGCTATCCTATAACCAACCAATATGAAGCAATTGATATGAATAATGGTTGGCAAATTGTTAGCAATTTGATGTTTTTATCACAGATATAGACGATGAAGATATAACCGTTAATAATGGGTAGAAATCGAGGTAGGTACAAATACATATCTGTCAACCTTGAGTTATCGTAAAATATGTTCTCTACTGGTTTTTTCGGGATTTTGCCTCCTTGCTTCAATAATTCAAAATTTTAGAATTATATATATATATATATAGAAAACAATCCGCAAAATGTAGAGAAATGAATAATTCACCTACTCGATTAACTCAAAGACAGTACTTAGATTTATTATAGTCTATAAAATTTGGAAGATGCTATTCGGTTATAGCCACAATAAAAATCAGAAAATATAGGTATCCGGTATCCGTTCAAATGCATGTCCCTTTATATGTACACTCGTCTTCAATGAACATGTCGCATTTGGACGGTATGAGCGCTCTTATCGCAGCGGTGATTAAGAGAGCTGACACCGTTCATGTGCGACATGTTCTCTGAAGACGACTGTACGTGCATCGTGCATCTCATGTTGGTTGAGACAGCCAGGTATCTCGGTTTTCGCTGTCCTTTTTTGTGAAACGCAAGATGGCCTAATCAGATTCTGCATTAACTGTTTTCGTTAATGAGATACAGGTCGATTTTGAAAGTTTATACTTTCACAGCCCCCTCTATATCTACGAAGTTTCTCAGCAAAAATGTCGAATTAAAATTTCATCCCATAGAGAATTTTAAGTGGCGCACTCTTTTTTTTTGGGGTATGGTTTTGGAGATACGACTCAAACTTATAATTTTTTTAATAGTACAACCTTTTATAAGCTCATTACATTCCTTATTTATCCAAAATTGTTTCAAATACGGTTCTACGGTTATGTGTTCACAGATTCTGATCGCTTTTTCATTCTGAATTCAACCATGTATTACTCAAAGTGGTTTGAATGTGTTTAGACCCAGTTTAATCCATCATCAATTTTATTTTTCCAAATTCGAAGTATCAAAATTTTGATGAAGTAGTTATTCAATTTACTGAAAGGTGGAAAAAATATTCCATGAATTATTCAATGCAACCCTTCTTACACGATGATTACGTATTCTATAGTCCCTTGGCCGGTGCGATCACCTGATAGGACACCGCTGGATTTTTTTATTTTTGGGGATACGTTAAAAACTTTGTTTACGAAAATAATGTTGATAACGAAGAAGAACTAAGGGACAGTGTTATCGAAGCATTACAGTATTATCCCAGAAATTGTTAAAAATGTCTTAGAAGCAACTGTAAGAAGAGGATATCTTTGTTTAGAAAATAATGGTTATGATTTTCAACATTTGTTATATCATTATTTATTAATTACTGCTCGTATTGTTGAAGTTTAGATTTCAAGGTAATTCGTGTAAGAATCCATTAACATGAAACAGTTTGCAACGATGCTTTGAATAATAAGTGTTTTTTTTATTTCTCTGTATTGAATAACTACATCAATATTTCACACTGAATGATCAGAAATAAGTGGTACTGATGGTATTTCCTCTTTGGAATTACGAAAAAACATTGATAATGTCTAAAACTAGGTCAAAACACATTCAAACCACCTTGTATAATTCATAATGAATAAGCTTTCAGAATCTGTGAACACATAATCAGGCTATACCCATTTGAGAAAAAAAAGTTGTTGATGGTTCCTCAGTTTTTCTGTAACCTCTAATAAACATTTAAAAAAAATACGAAATAGATTTTCCAAAAATTCACTTCTTTCGAAATAACTGAAAAACTGAAAATAGTTTTGAAAATTTTCGAATGCGCAACTTTTTTTCCATTTAACCGAACTCGTATCTCCTGCCGTTTCCGTGATCCCCATGCTGTGCAACTTCATCTTGGTCACAATGTATATAATGAAAAAAATTGAAAATTCTATGGTTCAGCAATGTTGATCAGTATCTTAAAAAATCAACAGTGCTTCAAGTTCATTTCATCCATCAATTTTTTGTAACAATAATAAAAGATCTTCAAAAGAGCAAATAGTAGGTTTTTGAAAATGTTTGTTTTTGAGTAACAAATATGTATAATATCTACTGGGTCAATTTGAAAACTATGAATGCAAATATTTCGCAAAATAAAATTTTGAATATACCGTTTTGCTCAAATAATGATATAGAGCTAGGGGGAACTAGAGCAAACTAGAACTAGAAACTAGTAAATGTCGATATCTCAAATGAAAGATCTCATAGATGCAATGTCAGAATTTTATTCGTTTATATTTATTTAGTTTTTCAGAAAACTACTTCCTGAGAAATCTTTATATTTTAATCTCCAATTGCATTTTTTTCTTTTTCGAAAAAATTTATTCTGCATGAAAAGTGGGGAATCAGATATTTCATGAATGCAGTTTGTATCCTCCACTTATTAAGTTCAAAAATACACTTCCCTATTTTTTGTTTCAGGAATGTGTCGTAACAGGAAGAAATTACACGTACAGCCAGCTCAGAACAAAATCGAAAAATTTCGGGTCATCACTTCGAAAAAAACTGAAGTTACAAAAGAACGATGTAATTGCTATGTTATTACCAAATGTGCCAGAATTTCCCATAGTCGCTCTGGGAGCAATAAGGGCGGGATTAATATGTACCACTATAAATCCACTTTACACACCAGGTGAGATTATCTTCTGACTCTTTTGTACACTCGTCTTTACAGAACATATCGAACATGGACGATGTTCAACTCTCTGAATCTCAGATGCTTTAAAAATAGGTTTTCAAGAAAGAAGAAAACCCTTATTTAGATTGTTTCAATCAACATTGGTTTAGAATCTCAATATTCTACTAGTTCAGGTTCAACAGATTTTTCTGAGGTACTTAGAGACTGCCATTTGATTTTTTGTTCTCGAACCATGGTAATGTCTTCATGAATCTTTCTCGATACAATTAATAAATTTTGATAAAATAATCACCTCTTCTGCAGTCTGTTGCACGGATTTTTGACAAAAACCTCTCCTGATGATGGCAAACGTACCGAAAACGTTTGAGATGTTATTTCAAGGAGACTTAATTTTATATACTTCGCCCTCTGTCATTGAAATCTCGATGGAAATTAATTAATTTCGAAACTATCTTCTGTAGTCTATGACTATACCCTCTCACTTACGATAGAAATATAAGGGATTTGCTTGTGGAGCAATTCTTCTCTCAGGTATCTGATACATTTCAATGGACAAATACGAATAATACCTTGCACCATCAATATTTCGAAAAACAAAACAGCATGTAAATTAGCTGTTATGTTTTTGTTGTATATCAATAATGTTTAATCAAGTTTTCAAAAATAAACACAAATTTGTGTTGAGTAATGATAAACATCACTACAATACATCAGTAATTATCTAGCATTTTAAGCTTATCAATGAGAACCAACGTTCAGCTATGAGGTATTTGTATTAACCAATATAAACTGACTTCGGATGAGGTATCTACAGTGTGTCCATTTAGTGCGTAATTCCTCGATATCTCGAAAGCCATAATCTATAGAGAAAAATTTTGGAGAAAAAACTTTTTCAGTTAATAAATTTACTCGTTTTGAATATATTTTCAACATTACTGGGTGTTTTATAAAAGCGGGACAACTCGGAGACGAGTTTTTTTTAAATGGAACACCCAGTATTTTTTATTCGAAATTTATTCTACTAAGAGTTAGCTCTACATCGCTGTGAGAAAAATTGAATTTGGTTGCGGCGTTGCCAAGTTATGATTGATAAACCCATTTTTACTACTATTGAAGGGTCATGTTCAATTGGATATTGAAATCTCCAAAATATTTTTGGCATACAGTAGTAGCAAGGTCTCACGTACACCAATCTAGTAATTTTGCGAGATAATCCTTTACAAGGTGCTTGAATTATTATTCTGAATATTGTAAGATTCAGACGACGATCATTAGAATTTTTCAAATGGAACACCCTATATTTTTCATCACAGATTCATTTCGACATCATTCGCCTTTTCATCGCTGAAGAAAAAATCAAAATCGGTTGCGGCGTTTTCAAGTTATGAGTAATTTCCTTATGTCTATCACTATCTCAGCACTACGATTTTGATTTCTTCTCCAGCGATGAAAAGGCGAAAGATGTCGGAATGAATTTTTGAATAAAAATACAGGGTGTTCCATTTGAAAAATTCTGATGAATGTCATCTGAATCTTGCAAAATTGAGCACCCTGTTGAAGAACATGTCGCAAAATTACTGGATTGGTATACGTGAGACCTTGCTTCTACCGTGTGCCAAAAATATTTTCAAAATTCGAAGAAATGAATATACCATGCCCAATTCAACATGACTCTTCAATAATGGTGAAAATAGATTTATCAATTATAACTTGGCAACGCCGCAACCGATGTTCCATTCCAAAAAACTCGTCTCCCAGTTGTCCCCCTTTTATAAAACACCCAGTAATGTTGGATATATTTTTGAAATGAGCAACTTCAGTAACTGAAAAAGTTTTCCATCCAAGGTTTTTCTCTATAGGTTATGGCTTTCGAGATATCGAATAATTACGCACTAAATGGACACACTGTATATTTATATGCATATATTTATTTTCATCTTCTGTTAGTCTTTCACATGTCTGTCTACAAAAAAAACAAAGAGGAAACAATATTTTTCGATCATGTATAAGTTTTTAAAAATGTATAAGTACCTATTTTTTTTATTCAGTAGTATAATCCATGGAAAAACCAAGTAGAACCAACATTGTACAGGGTTGTGTGGAAACTACTTAATTTTTTACTAAACCAGAAATATTTTTTTTCATCAAGACTTTTGTAATTTTTTTCTACTATACTCAGTGGCAATGTTAATTTTTAGTAGCTATCATATTGTTGTAAATATGGCGCAATCAGCATTCTTTCGAATTGATCACCCTGTATGTAAATATTTTTTCGGATAGCTGTTCTTTCAACTTACATTGATATACAGTTTGGCGTGTTTTTAACTGGTGGTTGTAGAAATATAATATGAAATGATAATTGATGAAAAATGTTTGATATTTGAGACAGAAAACTAATAAGAGGTGTTCAATAGTAGACGATCTTCTGCTTGCCAATAATCTAACCCTAACCTATCAACGAACCCCCTGAAAGGACAAACTTTCTGTTTTTCAAAACAGGTTGAGGGGATTCGTTGACAGATTAAGTAATTATATCAATAGCTGAAGGTCTAAGGTTTGAACACCATTTATTTTGTAAAACGAGTAAAACTCAAATATCAGACATCTTTCATTAATTAATACCTATGTCATCTTATATTTCTACAACAACCAATCACAGACACGCAAACTTCATTTCAATAAGCAAATTAGAAGAAAAGCAGTCCGAAAAAATATGTAATTACAGGGTGATCCATCCAAAAAAACCGTTGACTGCGCCATATATTCACGACAATATGATAGCTACCAAAAATCAACATTGGCCATTGAGTAGAACAAAAATAAGTCTCGAAAAAAACTTCTGGTTTAGTCAGAAATAAGGTGATGTTTCCATACATATGCTCAACCCTGTATTATGCCGCATTTTTATTTTTCAGAGGAAATTGCGAGACAATTAACGGACTCATCCGCGAAGGTAATCATAACTTTGAATGACTTCTGGCCTTTAGCACGAGCTGCCGTTCAAAGTACAAAAACGGATATACCAGTATTAACAGTTGATACAAAGGTTCGTATAATTGAAAACAAATCTCTTTATTTACATTCGTCAATGACGATACGACATATTATTGTTCATATCGATACCATTCGATACCAATAGTAGCCCAAATGGATTAGCATTGTATGTATGTAGATTGTATGTATTTCCAAAAATATTCGGGACTTGAAAAGATCTCCGCCATCTCTGGTAATTTTTGTGTTTTTTGACGAAAGACTCACAGAGTACCTATTGATTTTTTTAAAGGAAAACCTCTATAAACTATATTATTTATCTAATTTTGAGAAGCTTCTACAGATTGATTCATTGGGAAATGCGCATATAGTAAGGGTAGAAGGACACCGAGGTACTTCTAAATAATCTAGATTTCATGGGTCTATCATTCTTTTTAACCAAGATACAGGGTGATTTATAGATTTCCCTCATTTTTTCAATTAAATATAACTTATGAAACACCCTATACATTTCTTTGATATTTGGTTTGTTTGTTCTTCGTCCACAGAGGTGACGATTGACATAATAAAAAAGGATTTTTCCAGGGCCGGCCTTAAAAAAATTAATAAGTAGGTTTCGAGTCGAAACAACACCCTGTACATCAATATGTTAGAATCACATTTACAAATTTGGGAAGAGCAGGAAAAAATAAGTAAGACTGAATGGATTTGGTGTTTCCGCATACAACTTTTCTACCTATTAACTTGAGTCAAATCTAGAGGTTTCAATAATCAGGGGGCACAAAATTGAAAAAAAATTGATTTGACGTCCCCAAATGGCACTTTTCTACCTAGAGGACAAGTCCGTATTTGGGAAAATTATTATTATTAAATAACTAACTTCAAATACTCTGTATGTGTAAGAGAATTATCATAATCATAACATTTGTTCATCGCACTACATGTGAAACAATTATGAAAATGAAGAACAATGCCCATTCCGAAAGAAATATCGTTGCCACAAATCTATATTTGATTGGAACGGATACAAGGTGATCACAATTCTGAATCTTGAAGCACCCTGTATTTTTTCCAATAAAATTCCAGTAGATAGTGAATCAAAAGTTAATATAGGGACATGTGAGCCGTTTTGATCGATAATGAATAGTTTCGATACGAAACAATACTAAAATTGAAAAATCTCGATTTTGAATACCCTATATCTCTGTAATCAATCCTGCTAGACCTTAAGTGTGATGCATTGAAGAAATCAACTCTTCAGGAAGAATCTAAAAATGAAATAAAATACAGAGTGCTCCAATGGGTTGGCCGATATATATCAAGTGATATATATCATGATATGTATCATGATATATATCTGATATTTATTGATTGATATATATCATGATATATATCATTTACTTCTTTTTAACAAAATAAATACCGGAGCAAAAAGTCCTTGATATTTTGCGTTAAAAATGAATACATGACAACAATGCGTTTCGTGGTTATAACTTACAACTCGGGGAATCCCCGGTTTTTGTTTACTGCTTGTTAGGTACATGGTACATCAGGCGTGTTCGTTTGTCCTTGCTCTACCTGCTGAACTCGATTTTTTTCTATGACTTACTTTGTTTACATCATGCCATGAACAGAGACAACTATGGAAAAAGAATCAACTTTAGCAAGTTTAGCAATACAAACGAACAGGCCTCACGCATACAACGATTTGGTGGAAATCGGTTGCAATTCCTGACTCCGAATGGCCAAAAAAAGAACTCTTCTTACAACTATGTGAAGTTATTCAGTGCAGTAGCGGCAACAGCTGGTTTAGAAAGAATTTTTTCGAGTTTTGGAATAGTTCAATCTAAATTGAGAAATCGTCTAGGCAACGAAAAAGCCAGTAAGCTAGTATTTATTTTTAAATGTTTAAACCCAAATACAGATAAAAAAGCCAAAAGCTTGGACTGGATCTCGTCGAATGATGAATTAGTTGCCTCGAGTAAAGATGATAATATTGATAATGATGATTATATTCCTCTTTCTCGGTTTTGCAATCCTTAAAAATTTATCAAACGACAAGTTTTTTATATCACCATATATTACATATTTTCGGAAAAATATTATTTTTTGTTTCGTGTTTTGTTATTTCAAATTAAACCGAGAATTAAACTGAAGTTTGATTTTTTGAAAATCGAAATTTCTGATATATATCGGATATATATCGGATATATATCCGATATTATGATATTTTGATATATATATAAATATCATGATATTTGCCAACCCTGTAAAAGCTCCATTCAAAATATCGAAGTTGCCAGTTGTTTCTGATAGAAGTGGCAACACTGTATCGATGAAAATATTTTAGACGGATAGATAATGTTCAATTATCAAAGCACCCCAATTTTCAGAATGTTCTGTCTTTTCGTTCTCCAGATACTTCTAATAGGCCATCCACCGTGGATCACCCTGTATACCTTTTAAATCGTGCTCCACGATACCTATCTTTATAGATTGGGTTTGTCATTGCTGTCTCGAATCCGTGTCGATAGGAATTTCTACAACAAGAATCATTGAATTAGTAATAGTGCTAATAGTAGGAGAGCCGGCGCCAAATTTTACCCGTCATCTGATAACGACCGGACGTATCCACCATTTTATTACTAAAATCACATCAACAATACACTATAATAAAATTAGGTCCGGAATAACCAAAATTATACTCGTTCGTAGGCGCGCAATCAATATTCCTGCTATTATTTGGAAAATTGCGAACTGTAAAGCGGCTCTTTCAATTCCATAGTTTTTGTTAATTTTCATCTTGATTTTAATTTCACAAATTTTTCTATGAATAGAGTTTCTAAAAATTATCTGTTGCTCTGGGGATGGGGTAATTACCCCCTCATCCCCCCTCTCGGAAATATGGAAGCTCTGCCACTAACTTAGATCAGTTTCAATCACGGCACGTTTCGACAACAATTTAAATTTTGAGAACCATGTGAAGTCTTTGAATACAAAACTAGCACGTGGGTGTTATGCTTTGCGAATGGTGGCGAAAGAACTGGGTATAGCCACTGCGAAGGTAGTATACCACGCTCTGATAGAATCACATAACAGTTATGGAATACCTTTTTGGGGTATCTGCAGCCAACAAAACTTCAATAGTGTATTTGTTCTTCAAAAGCGTGCTGTCCGATACCTTTGCAAAGTTGGGCCAAGAGTATCTTGTAAACCGCTGTTCGGTCAAATAAAAATCCTCACCCTTCCGTCGTTATTTATTCTCGAAACAGTGTGTCTAGTTCATAAAAACAAATCATCATACGAGGTAACACTTGGTATCACTAGACAAAGTAACAATTTGCGATTACCTATTCCGTCTTCAAATTTAACGAAAAACTCTCTGATCTATAGTGCGATTAAACTATACAATCACCTCCCTCCCGCCTTCAAAAACATAGTTTTGCCGTCTCATTTCAGGAGATCTGTCAAGCGCTTACCTATCGATGAGGTTTTTTATAATGTTCAAGAGTTTCTTGAGAAAGATTGGAATAGTTGAAATATATGTCTATTTTAACATTTTGGAATTGTATTCTAATGCTCAATTCATTTTGTATGTGTCTGTTCTCTTTTATTTTTTTCTTGTGTTTACGTAAATTAGTTATTTTTGTATCTAGAGCGCGAAATGCTACTTTGGTGATCGAGATCTGATTTTTTTAACGAGGCGTAGCCGAGTTAAAAAAATAGTCGAGATGACCAAAGTATTTCGCGCTCGAGTTGCAAACAACATTTTTTCTACAAACGTCAAAAAATATAGTTCTAAAGTAAAAATATGCTTAGCTAGATATAAAAAATAGTGTTGAACTGGCATTAAAGGCCTCCCCCTATCCTCCCTAGGTACGCACGATGTTCCACGAACATAATACGAATTTCCTTTCGTGCGCTCAAGAGATAAAACAACGTTCTTGTTGGATATCCAAGAATGAATGATTTCGTGGATGTTTGCTCGATCAAGGACCATAAAGTTGAAATATAAATAGCTCATATATTTTACATTACAATGCGCGAAGTAGGTACTTCGCGCACTGTTTTACTTCGCGCATTGTTATGTGCAAGGTATCATGGTAACGTAGGAAACTGAAAAAAAGTGTCACTTCGCAGTTTGTTATCAATGCGCGAACCTTGTCATTTTTTGACGTTTGTAGAAAAATGTATTTATTATAATTGTGACAATGCTATAGTACCTGCTCTATACTATTTATTTATATAAACTTATTCAATTATTTATTTTATATTCATCATGACTTTATCAATGAGATGAAAATCTACCGATAATAAAGTATATTTTGATTATCGGATGGCATAATTCTTATCTCGTTATCAAATCGCGAAATCAAGTGCAAATTTCCGCACAGGAAAGTGCAATTTTTCAATCATTTTGCTCGGGATAGTGATTAGCACAGGTGCCGTTCGATAAACTACAATGTTTTTACATGCCTGTTTGAATTCTTGGTCTATTCCACACATGACAGTGACAGCTCACGTATGATTTGTGTTGTGACATTCTCATTAGAATCAATAATTAATAATAATCAGATTATTCCGAACATTCATTCATTTATACTTCAAAAGTTGCTTTCAGTTGTGAAAAGATTTGTAGTTTTGACTATACAGTGTGTCCCACTTACCATGCTCACCATGGGTATCTTTTTAACGGTGAGAGATACGAGGTCGGTTAAATGACACCAAATGTGGAGTTTGTCAAGGCCAACTATAATGTAAAAGAATATTCTGATAAAATCTATCCGTTTTTGTTTTATACGCAGAAAACAGATTTTGATCATTTTCATGTCTCCTCCATAACTTCTTTATTTATGAAAATATTCAGTTTTTCAAAATGATTTCGAAAAAAATATGAAATTCATACCAACTCTTATAATATTTGAGATATCAGCACCAACTTTAGTTTTTCAAATGTAGGTCATAGCTCACTATGAATTAGTTACAAATAACTTTTTTTTTCTCTTACAGATGATATGTCGCAGTAATAGTTTTGTGTTGATAACAACGGAGTTATCGTCATTTATACAAAAACTAAAAATTATTTGGAAGCCGCCATCTTGAATTTATAAATTATAACAAAAAACTCATGATCTCTGACCTCAAAAACCCTCACTTACCAATTTTGAATGGAATCGGACCAAATCTTGTCCGCCATCTTGGAACAGCCATTTTTTTTTAATTTCAACAAAAATTCCATAATGAATTGTCACCAAAATTATGAACACCTGCCAAATTTCAAGTTAATCGAAGTTATGGAATTTTCGCTGAAATTAAAAAAAAATGGCTGCTCCAAGATGGCGGACAAGATTTGGTCCGATTACATTCAAAATTGGTAAGTGGGGGTTTTTGAAATCGGAGATCATGATTTTTTTGTTAAAATTTATGAATTCAAGATGGCGGCATCCAAATCATTTTTTGTTTTTGTATAAATGACGATAACTCCGTTGTTATCAACAGAAAACTATTACTGCGACATATCATCTGTAAGAGGAAAAGAAGTTATTTGTAACTAAGTCATAGTGAGCTATGACCTACATTTGAAAAACTAAATATGGTGCAGATATCTCAAATTCTAGAAGAGTTGGTATGAATTTCATATTTTTTTCGAAATCATTTTGAAAAACTGCCATGAGAATGTGAAATTCCTATTTGAATATTTTCATAAATAAAGAAGTTACGGAGGAGACATGAAAATGATCAAAATCTGTTTTTTGCGTATAAAACAAAAACTAATAGATTTTATCAAAATATTTTTTCACATTATAGTTGGCCTTGACAAACTCCACATTTGGTGTCATTTAACCGACCTCGTATCTCTCACTGTTAAAAAGATATCCATGGTGAGCATGGTAAGTGGGACACACTGTATACGGTTTTAAGAATGTATCATTTTCGTTGGTTGCATTCATTGACACTATTGACAGTTTTTTTCTACCTAGGTAAAATTTCTTCATCAATACATCATTATTTACCTAGGTTCGAAAAGTGTTACTTCTCATTTAGAGGAAATCCTCGAATAATGGTGATTTCTCAGGTAGTGGTGGAAAAACTATTTTTTTTCTTGTACATCCCCGAAATATAGACTTTTCAGTTGGATGCTAAAAACCAACATGCAAAACTAAATCCGTCCCCTGAGGGTTAAGTTTACGAACAAGAGAAAAATGACAACTGTGCGTTGCAGGCGTTTGTTTTTCTCAAATTTCAAGATCGACTGATTATGTGAGAATATTCACCGCCAAAAATATCGAGACTTCGTCGAATAGTTGTTTTGTTGGAGATTTCACATTTTCAAAACTAAAACGATTTTTATGAGAGATAGATGAAACAGAATAAATCCTCTTCTTTGATACCAAGAACAATAAACAAAATATTATAAAACTAATGTACATAAAACAGGCGCGAATACATCAGCTTTGTTCCATAGGGGAGAGGGGGTAATTCGTGCCACGGGGGCGACAGAAAGCAAAAAAGCGCTGCAGGCGGAATTTTTCGTTGTTCAAGGTCAAATGCCTTCAAATTGATAGTTAGGTTTGTCAGAGGGGTATCATAAAGGTGGGAAAGAAAGATTTCAAATTCACCTGAAAATTTAAATTTCCTAATAGCAACAACAATCGAATTTTAATGTCAAGTTTACTTCGACCTAAAAAAATGCTTGAGTGTTATTCGGTAAGACAATTTATTGAATACGTGAATCACATTACTGTTGATGGTTCTTCACTCCGTGACTCTCCAAATCGCGACATTTCCATAGATTAGATACTTTTCTGACAAAGCAAGTTAGGGAAAAATGACATAAAAGCCATCGGCTTACGGGATGTTATGTACATAAATTAAATTGTCACAATGGAAAAAGACATTTCACGCTGCAGTAATGGCCTCGGCTGACGCCTATATTACGCCCTTGATACATAAATAACTATTTCAGAAGATATTAATATGAAAGCCTCCACGTGATCTTGGGACAGACTGTTTCATAGTCTATTAAAAATTGATTTTGATATAGAAAAGTACTTCTCACATAGTTCCATGCAACTTGTGAAAGAGACACGTCAATGAATATCTTTATACCTTTTCTAGATCAGGGTAGAATAAACATGCGTTTGTATGAAATTTAAACTTTTTATCAAATATCGGGTATAAAATAAAGCTCCAACAGGCAGGCCCAGGGCAGCAGGCCAAAAACGAGCCAGCAGGCCTGATTTTTAGGGTTGTTTGTAAAAAACTGTTCTAAGACACCCAGGTCTCCCCTATAATGTGTCCCAATGCGGTTGATTTGTCTCGGCAACCAATGTTGAAACAACTATTCTTTAGCAAGGACAATCCACACCTGCAGGTGCCATCAACTTTTCAGAGTTCACAGACAATGCGGTGGATTTTCCACGAGCGGCGACGAGCTCGGAAGACGTGATTTTCCTGCCGTACTCGAGTGGCACCACTGGCCTTCCGAAGGGGGTTCAGTTGACACATTCCAACATAGTTTCCAATATATGCCAACTCCATCATCCGGAATTGAATTTATTCCGGGAAACAACAGGTAATTACGCGATTTCCACCTAGTGATAGAAAATAAACGTGCGCCAGCTGACGGAGTTCCTGAAAGCTGTCAAAGCGGCATTTACTCTGCCCCTGTTTATTTTTGGAGTTCAAACCTTAGAAATCATATTTTATATACTCAGTATATACAGTGTGTCCCACTTACCATGCTCACCATGGGTATCTTTTAAACGGTGAGAGATACGAGGTCGGTTAAATGACACCAAATGTAGAGTTTTTCAAGGACAACTATAATGTGAAAAAAAAAATTATGAAATCTATTCGTTTTTGTTTTATACGCAAAAAACAGATTTTGATCAATTTCATGTCTCCTCCGTAACTTCTTTATTTATGAAAATATTCAAATAAGAATTTCACATTCTCATGGCAGTTTTTCCAAGTGATTTCGAAAAAAATATGAAATTTATACCAACTCTTCTAGAATTTGAGATATCAGCACCAACTTTAGTTTTTCAAATGTAGGTCATAGCTCACTATGACTTAGTTACAAATAACTTTTTTTTCTCTTCCAGATGATATGTCGCAGTAATAGTTTTGTGTTGATAACAACGGAGTTATCGTCATTTATACAAGAACAAAAAATTATTTGGAAGCCGCCATCTTGAATTTATAAATTTTAACAAAAAAATCATGATCTCCGACCTCAAAAACCCCCACTCACCAATTTTGAATGGAATCGGACCAAATCTTGTCCGCCATCTTGGAGCAGCCATTTTTTCTAATTTCAACAAAAATTCCATAATGTATTGTCACCGAAATTATGAACACCTGTCAAATTTCAAGTTGATCGGAGTTATGGAATTTTTGTTGAAATTGAAAAAAATGGCTGCTCCAAGATGGCGGACAAGATTTGGTCCGATTCCATTCAAAATTGGTAAGTGGGGGTTCTTGAGGTCAGAGATCATGATTTTTTTGTTAAAATTTATAAATTCAAGATGGCGGCTTCCAAATAATTTTTTGTTCTTGTATAAATGACGATAACTCCGTTATTATCAACACAAAACTATTACTGCGACATATCATCTGGAAGAGAAAAAAAAGTTATTTGTAACTAAGTCATAGTGAGCTATGACCTACATTTGAAAAACTAAAGTTGGTGCTGATATCTCAAATTCTAGAAGAGTTGGTATAAATTTCATATTTTTTTCGAAATCACTTTGAAAAACTGTCATGAGAATGTGAAATTCTTATTTGAATATTTTCATGAATAAAGAAGTTACGGAGGAGACATGAAAATGATCAAAATCCTTTTTTTGCGTATAAAACAAAAACGAATAGATTTTATCAAAATGTTTTTTCACATTATAGTTGGCCCTGACAAACTCCACATTTGGTGTCATTTAACCGACCTCGTATCTCTCACCGTTAAAAAGATACCCATGGTGAGCATGGTAAGTGGGACACACTTTATAATATGATTTCTATGGTTCAAACAATAACCGCTCAAATGTGTTCACGTTATTGCCGTCAAGTGGGGCGACTTGTAATTTTCTAACGATAACTTTGTCAATATAGGCGAGGGGACTAATTTTATTTTAATTTCTAAAATAGAATCATCACTCAAATACCTTTCAATTTCTTATTTTCCAAGAATTTTTCGCTCGATTTTCAGGTGATAAAATCATCAATAATTGCCCATTCGAACAATATTAAGAACTTTTAGAGGTGACAAATTCTCAAGAGCTCTATAAATTTCAATCCAATCTCTGTTAGTTATTAGCAATAATGAATACTTTGCCACAACTTTTTTTTCTAACTATTTAGATTTGCTACTAAATTGACAGTCGTCACTCAGAACTGGCTAACTAAATTGAGCCACTCTGTGTACTCAGAAAACTACTTATATCAAATCTGATATGAGTACTTAGGTACTCGATATGCAATAAAATAATCTTCAATATCTGCAAAGTTTTGTCATAATCGATAAAACACTTTTTGAACTGTACACTTGAACTATGATTTAGCAACTTTTTTGACGCTCTCTTTATTTACGGACTTATTTCGAAACAGCATGAGCTGCATGAGAGGAAGTTTCAGTTTCTCTAAATCACACTGAAATGAACCTTAGAAATCGATTTCGGAATGTATCGGGTTGAGATGAAAAATTTGGGTCATTTGGCAAGATGGAATATTCCCCTGTTCAAGATTTTGTTCACTCTATAATATCGTATAGATCAACGAATCTAAAATCTTATCACCACAGTTCAGATACGCGTAAATTGACTGAGTATAGTATATTGTTTAACGAGCACGAAATGATAGTGATTTTCCACGAGAATAAAGGTTGCTGCATGAGCAAATTAGCATTCCGTGCGAGTTATTCACTAAAATTTTTCTATGGCTGTAAGAGATAACAGCGGCATTTTTTATTTCTTCGTCTAATAGACAGTCATTGCTTGAAATATGACATTCCATGAGCGATGAGATTTTTCTGAAATAATAACACAATGGAGTCATTGTGATATCAGATACGGAAATAAAATTGATGACATACAAAGTACCTCATTGATGTATCAAACACAGAAAAACAAGAGCAATTTTTTGTTATCGCCGTAGAAACATAATATTCTCGTTTCAATTTTGTAAAACAACAGCAACATCTAGCATATATGCTATGATAATATAATTCAACATTCAACTCCAGTGCATTCCAGAGAATAGCGCTACATCTGACGGGATGGTAACGCTAATAAATAATATGGCGGCAATTTAAAATCAAGGTCAAGCATGCTATTGGTATAGTTCGACTCTGATTTAATCTTAGGGTTCAATGTACCTACGTATAGATAATACAAAAATTAACACACAATGTTGTTGTGATTAGCATCTCGCAAAGAAAACTAGGTATAACCTAACATAATGTCACGAAATTTCATGATTGATATATTTTAGTTTCAAATTGGCTTCATTATTGAACAATCCTCAGTTGTAATGGCCTATAAGTGGTTTTTTCAATTCTAAATTACAATTTTCTAATCATGGCATTAGAGACTTCTCATAATGAAGTCTCGCAACCTACGAGGTGTCTTTGAAATGAGTAAATGCAGGGTTTTCAAACTTAAGTCGGCACTATTGCTAACTTGGTTATTATTGGACCTACAAAGTCGGTTAAATGGAAAAACTAGTAGTATTTATTCCTCTGATTACGATGACGAAAACTAAACAAAAATCTAACATCGCGTTCACGAGTTACGTCAAAAAGCTCAATTTCGATAGGAAATTCGAATTTGAACAAGAACTGTATTATTAACTTTTATTCTAAAGTCCATATAAATCCGTAACGAAGTGCGATAGACATATATTTTATATGAAGTACTCATTATTTTGTTTCTATCAGCCCTATCATTTACGACATAACATTTCCGGGCACCCTGTATATTATGAAAAAAAAAATCCTAAATCGCTCTGCGAATTCGATAATACAGGGGTGGGGTGGCCCAAATTGTTACACACTGATATTTTTTCAATTTCATGGTTTGCCAACACCCTATGTTATATGAGAATTATTAAATTCAGTAAAAGACGAATACTCCTTTCAAGTTGCTTTGGTTTCCTATAATTGATAATGCGCTAAATAATAATAACTTTTATTTCAGCGGACTATCAAGAAGTTTGTCCAGCAGTGTTGCCAATGTTTCACATTTACGGACTGACTGTATTATGTTGGAACCTTTTGAGTTTGGGGATTAAAATCACAACTCTACCCAAATTCGAACCAGAAATGTACATCAAGTCTTTACGGAAGTACAAACCATCAACACTCTATGTAGTTCCACCAATAGGTGAGTCATAAGAAATATAATAGATATACAGAGGGTATTTAGAAGATTAAAGCGATAAATGAAATGGGGAATAAAAGACGATAAATATAAGGAACAGATACGTTTTTGGAATATATTGACCTTCGGAGTTCCATTGAAACTCCTTTAAATCATTGATCTGAGGTTGATAGCCGAATCCAAGCGTTTGAAGTCACAAGCACCGAAAGCATCAATGTTGCCGGACGTTCAATAAAAGGATAATAGTTAAAAAATGTAGTATATGGTAAGAGCGCACATTTTTCGTATTGTAATTTTTTGTCAAATTGTCCCATTTGATTAATCGCCTCAATTTTGGAAACACCCTGTATATGAGCACCGATATGACCTATTATTCAGACCGCTATAAGGAATATCAGTAGCATATTCTAACAATCCGAAAATCTTTTTCTTTTTTCAAATGACTCGGCGTTACTTGATGGAAATAGTAAATGTAAAATTTCCACAAAATTCTGATTCTCATGACACAGTAGCTTCTTCATATGAAATACTTGTACAATAAACTCAACTTACATTGACTTGTCTCAGTTGTCTCACTTTTATATCCAACCTAAAGAATTAAAAGTAGGTTCGAATAACCTCCATTTTCGGAAAGTATGCAGTTAGGCACAATATTTACATTAACTTACGGTATACCGGATTAACTTGAAAGGGTTGATAGGAGATAGGATATAAAAGTTAGGCAAGTCAATGTGAGTTTAGTTCATTGTACCAGTAGCTATTACACTTAAAGAAGCTACTGTGTTAGCAAAACATGTGTGATTAAAAATTCTGTGTACATCTTATCGTTTGTGAAGTTTATACAATCCGAAAATTTCTTCGCTTCTGCTGAGATCAATGACCTCAATATAAACAACTCAGGAGGATTAGATATCCGAAATGAGTTGATTCAAATGAAATTATATCACCTGTTTGTGAGAGATATAATTCCCATATCACTGATACTAATGATCTTTTTGGAAATTCCAAGCTCATCAAGATCAGAGTTTATACAATTAAGTATATACTTCTAAGATACATTTCACTTTTCATTTCAATACTGAACATATTGGTAAGTTATAATTTTATATCATACTACATCATATATTTTTATCCGATTCAAGAGAGAAGTCAATTCTCAATTACAGAGGATTTTCATTTTTTATGCTCTCCTTTTGGATGTTTCTTTCCACGTCCTGTATTATGAGTATCAATTTGTCATACATCCGAAAACTTCATATTCTGGTTGTTACCTACTATATGTAGTTCAGAGATTTCCCATTCTCAATGAATCACCCTGTATATTTTCTTATATTAAATTTTTCAATTGAAGCGATATTCTTGGCAAAACATCCAGCGGTGAAACCAGAAGACCTTGATAGTGTCGAATATTTGATAAACGGAGCAGCACCCTTAGGAAAGCTAGATGAAGAAGAGCTGATAAAAAAGGCAAATAGAGACATAGCTGTTCTCCAAGGTGAGTACAGTTTTGTAAGAACTTAGGGATATTTCATTCACCACACGTTTTGGTACACCTCTCCTACCTGCCCTTGGGTTTACCAACTCCATAGTTGGTAAAGATGGTTAAAGGTATATAAACTTGATTCGAATTGAAAATGAATGGAGTGGATGTCGAAGTAAGATACACGAGTAAACTGTGGAAGTGGGTAAGGTGAAAGAATATTATTGGGATGTTCGAGAAAAATCTACAATGCACTTCGCTTATCATGAAGGTAGGGACAACTGGTTCCATTTCTACAACGTGAGGTACGGTATAAATAACATGGCACGGACTTATTTCTTGAATTTCCTCTAAGGTTCCAGCAACATACCAGAATTTCAACTCCGGTGAGACGAAACACAAACCTCCAGCATGTTTCTTACAATTCTCTAATTTAGCCCTTCTAGACCACAAGCCATATCTATGTACTTCTTGAGTACGACGCTTCGTTGGTAGCCTATCCTAAAGGCCCTTGTAAGTGGGTTTCTGAGAAGATCTTTTTTTCGTTATCAGATAAAACAGTGACATTTTTCCTTCAAGGCTGATATATTCTACTTCTAGAGCTCTACCGCCGGATGAACCCTGTTCTTGAAGTTCTTTCAGCTTGCCGAACTTCTTCAAGAACATCTTGGCTATTCCTTGAGACATCTGAAGATCTTGGGTGCTCTTTCTTGGTGACGTTAAACCTTGCTTTTGATGATCTACTATTTGTCCCAATGAATTCGTCGAATGAAAGCTCCTCTTCTTCCGAACTTGTTGTGCTTGTTGATCTTGAGTCCCCTAGAATGGTGCCAGTCTGTTGCAATGAACGACTCTTGGTTTGCCATTGGGACTCTACTGATACGGTAGATGAACTCGTTGATCTTCTTAACGGTATAAGGTCCTCCCCAAGATCTCAAGTTTCGGACAGAAACCTCGTTTTCTTTGTGGATTGTACAACCACACCAGGTCTCCTTCTGCGTACCCTACTGCCCCAGCTCTGATGTCATATCAGTCCTTCATGCGACCGCTGGTGATTTTCAGAATAGATCGAACCAACTCGTGATTAGTGTTCTAGCAATTAGAACGCGCTAGTATTTTGCATTCTAGAACAAGAAAGAGCCACTCCGCTAATTGACATTTCAACGAAAATAACAATTTCCGAAAAATTGATTTTTCTGGTCAGTGTGACGAACTAATTTTTCGGAACATCCTATAGGTCGCGTGCACGATGGCCGCTCTGGAGATAAAACGTTGAAACACAACCTAACTTTTCTGTACAACATTGAGACACAACCTCACTTTTCTTATTTGTTCACAAATGAATCAAAGGAATAGTTTTTCACAATATTTTGGCATACGAATCGTGTTTTTTGGGCTATTCATTGATTCAAGCATGCCATCACATTGTCATTTCTCATTAGAATTCTAATACTGCTGATAAAGTGAAAATGTCTACAACACGCACACGATCATATTTCGTCAGAATATCAGACCAGTCCTCCCATTTTAGAAACTTCACGAGTATTTCTATTCGCGGTAGTCAAAGTCATCATCTGACGTTGCGATGACATGAAAACTATGGGAAACTCGTGATGACTCTTTATTTCATATTTATTTTATCCAAGAAGATCATACAGTTATGATATAGGACAAGTCATAAAAGCTTTTAACAATTTTTATTATCACTTAAACTAATGACCAATCATCCATCCTCATATGTTCATACTTACATGCGGTCATCACCATTCACAAAAATCATTTACGGATCCTGAAAAGAGCACTGAAGGTACTCTTCAACGGAATGAAAGGCATTTGCTAGCAATATCGATCTGATAGCTGACATAAACTTTTTCAAACTTGTCATGTTTTTTATTTCATTGTTCAATTTGTTATAAAAGACTGTGCCCATATAATAAGGATTTGACTTGTACAATTCTAATCTATGGATATCATATTGTAAATTATACCCTTATCGTGTTGGATATGTATGAGTAGCATTTTAATACAAATAGTCTGACATATTTTGTTTAACAAATTCCAGTATCTCAAAAATATATAAACAAGGCTGAGTAGAAATTTTGTTGCTAACAAATGTCGATTTGCATGATGCTCTATAAAATAGCCCAAACATATATCTTATTGCCCTATTTTGTAGAACAAAAATTCCGTCTGATGTTGTAGAATATGATTTCATAACGAATATGGGATTCAATGCACGAAAAATAGTATACTTTCACAACATCTCGACTGGAACATTGTTTTAATCTGTTTAATGCAAACGAGTTACTTGCGCACCTTTTAATTACTGCTGACACATGTGATTTCCAATATAGAGATAAATCTAGATAAATGCCTAAAAGTTTGAATGATGTTAATTGTTGAATTGGTTTTAGAAGTTGACTTTCATTATATCGGTTGGCAAGGGGATAAAACTGCATGAAGAATGTATTTTCCTGGTTAAAATTCAGTTTTTTATTTTGAAAGTAGTGAATCACTGTATCAAAATTAGTTTTGATTACTTCAAGGGCTTCTATTTGGGTTTCACCACTAGACAAGATAGTTAAATCGTCTGCGAAGGCAGTGAAAAAAGTACTTGAGCTGCTATTAATATCGTTAATATATAGGATGAATAAAAGAGGACCCAAGACACTACCTTGTGGAACACCAATATCCACAATTAATTCATTCGACCGTTCTCCTGAACATTCAACAATTTGCTTCCTTTAGCTGAGATAAGATCTCAATACTTGATTGCTTCGACCGCGAATACCATAAGCTTCCATAGAAGATAAAATAATTTCATGGTCGACACAATCAAATGCTTTGAGATTGACAAATAGTAACAATACTTTGTTTTGTTTATCTAAATTTTTGTATATGTACTTCAAAATCTGCAGAAGAGCACTTATTGTCGATATTTTCTCACGAAAGCCATGCAGATAGGATGAAAAATATTGTTTATTTTCTGAAAAGGCTAAGATTCTAGTTGCTAGCAGTTTTTCAAATATTTTTGAAAATACTGATGAGATTGCTATAGGGCGATGATTACTGATTCGTGTGCGATCACCTTTTTTGAAAAGAGATAGTATTTTCGCTAATTTTAGTATACTAGGGAAGGTGTCGGCTTTGAAATTTTCATTTACGAGAGGTTTGGATAACTCACAAGAGCACTGTTTTATTATTTTGATAATATTTGGTAATAAATACATAGATTCATTTACAGCAGTGACAGGTGACTGTTCATTTGGTCGGAATGAAATGTTCGGAGAACGTAATGACTTTGGTAGTTCTACAAAATATGTATTAAAATGATTGGTGATGATCGGATTGTCTGTGACCAAAACATTGTCAATTTATAACTTGAAATCACTTGGAGATGAAACATTTTTTGTTGTGCTGTTTATAATTCGCCAGACCATTTTTGACTTGTTTGACTAGTTTATTATAATATCATCAAAGTACATCTGCTTTGCACGTCGTATAACTTTTTTGTGAATTATTTTGTACTGTCTATAGAAGTCATCTCTCATCATACCAATTTTTTTCTGACTGAACAAGTCTTTTAGTCTGGTCGACGATAATATTCCAGTGGTACTCCAGTCATTGTCGTTCTAGATGACAACCTAGTTAGGTAGTTAGTAGGCAGGAGCTATAATACTCCAGTTATTGTTGTTTCTATCGAGATTTTTGGTGATGAATTTAAAACATCATAATGATGCGTCAGAATTGAATGAAACGATGAATATTTATCATCGACGGTACTGTAGTTGAAAATGTTATTTCATGTCTCTGAAGCCAAAGTTAGACATGTTTTCCCGTAGTTTTCATGTCATCGCAACGTCAAATGATGACGTTATTACCAAGATACAGGGTCGTGATATTTTTTAGCCAAAATTGAATTGCCTGACATGTTATACACTAAGTCTACTGATCAGTACCGCGAATTAGCTCCTATTGCAGAAGGATTTCCAATGAGGAAATGACAAAATATCAAAATAGAATACAGTGTACCTACATCAAAAATCGGATTCCTTCATCTCTCGCTGCATGCTTGAATTAACGAATAGCCGAAAAACACGATTCGTATGCCAAAACAATTATAAAAAACTATTTCAATCCTTTGTAAACAAATGAGAAAAGTGAGGTCGTGTTTCAATGTTTTTCCTCCAAGATCGGTTATCTGACAGATCTTGCACGCAACCATACATTCCGATTGATAGCAAAACAATGTACCCAGGTTATGGTCTCACTGAAACATCCCCTGCAGTCCTGACTATATGGCCGAACATGAAGAAGATGCCGGGCATCGAGGGAGCTTTAGGTTTGCCCCTCGCGAACACCCAAGTGAAGTTGGTCGCCATCGACGACCCGACGGGCACACCCTTGGGGCCCAATCAGACCGGGGAGCTGCTGGTGAAGGGGCCCCAGGTCATGAAGGGGTACTTGAACAGGCCGAAGGAGAACGAGGAGACCTTTTTGGACGGATGGCTGAGGACTGGCGATATGATGTACTACAACGATGAGGGATTCTTGTTCATCACCGATAGGCTCAAAGAATTGATCAAAGTGAAGGGGTTCCAGGTGAGGTTTACTTTCATAATTCACTCTACGGTGTCCCGAAATGGCGAATAACAAGATTTACACTTTCATTTCGAGATGTTGAATTTCTGGAAATTATTACGCACCGGCGTTATTATCGAATACTGTCCCCAGATTAATCGAGGAGATACGCCAACAGAAAAACACACCTCGAAAAATACTTATGGGCAACATCTTCTTCTTCTCTTCCTCGAAGCACATGTAGGCCTCCTTATTCGGGCATATTGTGCGCCCACATGTTCCGACATTCAGCTGGGAATGCCGACTTCCTTGGAGAAGTTCAACAGCTTCCTCAGCTGAATCTCTTTCACGTCCTCTGGCCTCAAAATTATGTTGCCAAGGACAGCCCTCCTCTGATGTGTCAGTGCTGGGCACTCAATGAGGACATGCGATGACGTTTCGTCATCTTCCAGGCACCATCTGCAAAGGGGATCATCTTTGATCCCAATAAGCTCTTGGTGCCTATGGAGGTAGTTGTGCCCCGTTAGGAGCCCCACTATCATTTTAAGGTTTCGACTGTTGAGGGATAAAACCTCTTTTGTGAGCCTCTTCGAAGGTTCCTCATGGGCAACATTTATAAATTTTCAAATAGGACATCCTGTATTTTATTGCATTTTTAGATTCTGCCTGAAATGATTACATAGATATAGGGTGTGAAAAATTGAGATTTTTTTTCAACTTCAAAAAATTTTTGTGGCGAAACTATTAAATATTTAAATTTCACTAATCATCGGATGTTTCGGGAACGAATCTGCTTCTGTGTGGTTACATGGTCATATACAGTCCTGATAATGTGTTCACAGATTCTGAAAGCTTTTTTCATTTTGAATACAACCATGTATTATACAAAGTGGTTGAATGTGTTTCGTAATAGTTTCAGTCGTCATCAGTTTTTTCTTAATTCCAAAGGAAAAATATCACGAATCAACACACTGATACCGTCATCTGAGAATATATGAAACGGTAAGGGTTATATGAAACATCAGGTACTTTTTTATATTCAGCGCTTTGGTAAATTCAATTTCACAATGTCGATCAACCTGTTTGTCAAAATGTCTGTCAGATAAACAAAAGACTGATATGGTGTTATTGTTTATTACAAAAATCGAAAATTGAGTACTTCAAATCAGTATTGAAATTTATTGCACTTGTAAGCTTTTTTAGTAACCTCAAATAGTCTTATTTGTATCTCAAAAACCCATCGTCCTGCATACTTCTGTATGTGCATAAACTCAACTAACCATTGTCAATTTTTTCATGATTGGAATCATTACACCTCGTCGGTCATTATTTCTGAACCTAGTGTGCAGACAAATTCATACATTAGAGTGACTTGATTTAAGATATTCAATATTGATGAAAGCTGTGACTTAGATCTTATTTCTGTTTTTCAATTTCTTTTAGAGTTTCATGTTATTTTGTATACCCGGAATTTCAATGTGAAACAATATAATGATGTTTTGTATTTCTTTCAATTCATTTTCTCTTTTAGTTTTTTGGATGCTGTTCTGTTTCAATTTTTTAAATCTACTTGTTCCACATAACCCATCACAAAGTCGAATGTAACACAATTCTAATTTTTATGAGGGTATGAAGTGAAGATGATATTATCGGGTTATATGAAACGCCCAAAATACAAAAAAAAGAAGGGCGTATAAAAAAACAGAAATCCATCAAGAATATACCTTTCTATACCCTTCAAATCACCAAGAATATTTCGATGCATTCCGATTTTCCAGAACGGGAATAATAAGTGAAATGTTGAAAAATCGTTTCATATATACTCAGATGACGGTACCTTATCAACTGGTTCCAGTTGATAGACTTATAAGGATAATTAGTTGGAGAAATCTAATTATGACAAATTCCTTCGATGATAATGAAAATTTTTATCATTTTGTACATTTGTTATGAATGTTATTGCTTTTAATAATAATTACTATGTATGTTGTCAAAGTTTAGTTATTAAGGTAATTTAGGTAAGAAGCCATTAACATGAAACATTTTGAAGTACTGCATTGAATAATTTAGTGAAACATTTTTTTTACTTTTTAGTACTATCTTTTTCGATAAAACATTGAGAATGGCTAAAACTAGATCGGAACATAATCAAACCACTCTGAATACGTGGTTGTATTCAGAATGAAAAAAACTTTCAGAATCTGTGAACACATGGTCAACAACGTATTTGAAAAATAAGTTGACGGAGGTTCTATAAATACGATATTATGATATTATGAATTCAGCTCAAACTTGGTTTACTTGTAACGGACTTGAAATTAACTTTCTTACCTCTTTGATCCGAACATTCAAGGAATATTGACAGTTCACAAGTTCTCAGATCTATGGGTTATTCCATAGTGATTTATCTTACGGTGTTACTATGGAGTGACTCCTGTCATTCTCATAGAGCTTTCATGTTGCAAAAAAGAGTAATTATAGAATAATGGCAGGAGTATATTTTCGCGAGCACTGTCGCCCTCCAAATTATGCCACTTCCTACACTGTTTATTTATAAATCTTCACTCGAAATCCATAATACTAAAAACAATTATACGGTTCAATCCGAAGTTCACCCTTATTCCACTCACAATGCCAACATAATACCTAAACTCAGGTTACAGATGTCAAAAAGGAACACTGTGAATCTGCACCTCTACAATAATATACCTTCTAAGGTAAGGTGCCTGAACTTTCATCCATTTAAGAATAAAATCAGAGCTTTCTTACTGAAAAACTGCTCTTATAGGATCAAAGGGTATCTTGATCTGAGCATGAATGAACTCGAATTTCTGTGATAGACACTTTTCTAGTTATACTTTTTATACGATTTGTGTAGTTTTGTGATATATACACTCCTGTTTTGTATAGTACTATTTTATATGACGATCAACTAATTCAATGTTATTAGTATGGAAATCAATATCTATCTGTCTATCTATCTACGAAACGTTTTTTAGAAAAATGAATATCTCCACGGTGAATCTCATCGAAAGTTGAGATGGAAGAGTATTTTTAGTTTTTCGGTATCCCCAATAATAAGGTAGAAAATAAGAAAAAACTCGTGTTCGTAGGACCACACGTCGGGAGTGATATCTTTTATGGCCGGTCAGTATTTTCAATATCTTTTGGATAATACGGGGAAAATCTGAATGAAGTAATATTACCTTCAAGTAATATTTCCACTTATTCGCGAAGAGAATGAACTAGCACTAAAAATATTGAAGGAGAAATTTCACTCACCCTGTATTGAAAATATTATGTAAATGATGTACGCGCGCTTCCGTGACGTGACTACGCCCGTTTTACCCCCATCCCAAAAATTCACTTCTTTCGAAACTGAAGAACAATTTCTACTATTTCACTCAACACATAATCTGACCAATCACAAGCGAGAGACAACGTGTGCTTATCTCGAAATCATTAGTTGTTTTAAAATTCTGATTGGTCTATCAGCGTTGATGTTTTGAAGGATGTAACCATGGATGGAGAAGCAAAGTCTGTCAGTTTGGCATAAAATAATTATGGTTGTACTTGTCAGAATGAATCACTCATTTATAATGAATGCTTTTTATGCTTCGTGAACGTGAAATAGTCTAGCAAAATGCCACTCTGTTCTGAATATCTTCTCATAATTCTGTCTTTCATTAACTCAATGAAGCTACAGAATTATCTCGAATATTCAGAACATCCTGATATTACTTATGGAAATTTTATAAAGCTGTTAGGTTGACCCTCTGAGTGTGAAACTTTTTTCCATTCAACCAAATTCATACCGTTTCCGAGATTCCAATGCTGTGCGACCTTATCGGTCACAGTATATATAAATAAACTTTTTTGGTACATTGGGATATCTAGAGTCATTGGATGTTATTAGTTAAATAAGAGTTCGGACACTGCTGAACTTCTGTCCGTTTCTATTTTCTATATTACAATGGTTTGTGTGACTAAAAGAATAAGGCGTATATTCTGCTCTTTTTCTTTTCAATTTCCCTAGTAGCACCTGATTGTCAGATACGCTTTCAGAGGTTAGATTTTTTGTCAAATCAATCATTGTCGTAGATGGAAAATAAAAATTGGGTATAAACACTCACTTCAATTTATATTGCGATACACTTTTCGCAGAACAATAGTTACAAAAATGAAAGGAATTAATCTAACAACATTTTCATATGACAAAATAGACAAACTGATACTGATACTAGACTGTACCCGAGTGATGAAGTGTAAAACATGAAGATTGTTTTGATTTTCCACCTTTTTCTGCAGTCCCTTTTTGCTGATAAATTTTGAATTTGGTCGGTATTGAAAACGCCATTCAATGATATTATATCACGTTGCAATTTATTTGATTTCCTCAGTTTCGTTCTCAAATTTTCAATTTCATTACGTAGTTTTGAAATCAATTCCTCTTTATCTATGAAAATTTCGTTTTGCATCTCGTCTCAAGATAATACAGTGCAGACTCGATAATCCGAACTAATAAAAACCAAGGCGATTCGGATTACCAAAAAATTCGGATTACCGAAGCAGTTTTTTTTTTAAATTTTTCATTACGAAATGCAAAAAAAACATAAATACGAAAAAGTAACACTGAAATATGCATAAAAGTAAGAATATAATACTAGTTTCTAAAGTAATTTGTAATTTTTGTTTGCTTAACACATCTTTGATTATTTATAAAGGCCATTTCTTTTTATCTTTGAAGTACAAGAATACCTATCATTTAACGGAATAGTATTTTCTTCCTTGCGTAATGTGAATCCCAGATACCAACAAAAGAACAATTAGGGGAATCCCTGAACATTTCACTCACAATTTCTATAGGAAATAGATAGGCCTAAAGGTATAGGTTCGGATTATCGAGTACTATGAAATTCGGATTATAGAGTACTCAATGTATTAAAAATGCTTGTTCGGACTACTGAAGAATTCGGATTATTGAACGTTCGGATTATCGAGTCTGCACTGTATTGGATTTTTTTTTCAATAGTCTGTTCTGTAAATCAATGGAACAACGGATCTTATGAATCTTCTGTTTGAAAATGGGCCTAAAATATAGTTCCATTCCAATCTGAGAAGAAGAAGAAGAAGAAGAAGAAGAAGAAGTGAATTTCAATGTATGTACTCACCTCACAAGTTTTGCCTGTCTTCAAATTAATTATCCATCCAGGCCGTTTCATACATTCCGTATATAAAAAGGAATGGTTGATATTTCCTTTGGAAAATTGAAGGAATTAAATCGCCATTCCCTTCAGAATTCCCTCAATTCATTACACAGCAGGACATTTTCATTATGCTTTTTTCCCAATAGTTTATGAAATTATATTTCAATTCTGACGTTCATAAAATTTGTTGTTAAATTCAAACAATTTTGGCTGGATAAGCGCGGAACGACTATGATGCTATTGTCACAATGCAAGATGTGTAACTTAATAAATCTAAACATTCAAAAACACTAACAGTTGTTGTAATTTCTGTGTTCGATCTCTTATGTAACTAATACCATCCAGTGCATCTAGGGATCTCAATGTACCAAACTCCTTACTGGAACATTCAAATGGAGCAAATTGATTTTCTAGGTGGCACCTGCTGAACTAGAGGAAATCGTTCGAAACTTTCCTGACGTAACTGATGCAGCAGTGATAGGAGTTCCAGACCCCAAAGTCGGAGAAGTTCCTAGAGTGTACATAGTGACCAGACCGGGGGCCAAAATCGACTTCGACAAATTGAACGAACACGTGAACAGTAAAGTGGCGAATTATAAGCAGTTGAAAGGCGGAATATGTGTGATAGACAGTATCCCGAAGAACGCGACTGGAAAGATACTGAGAAGAGAACTGAAGATGATTTATGAAAAAGAAAATTCATCGTGATATACATATTTTGTATTAGCCTTGGGCAGATACTATTTTTATATGATATTTTATAATGTGTTATTGAAGGGATTTTATTTGTGGATAATTCAGAAGAATAAAGTTATTCAATTTTTAAAGTCTGCTATAATTTACATTTGTTAACTCACAGGGTCTTTTGTTGATCTGAGCACAAATACCTATATTAAAATTATTGAATATGTTGTTCTACAAGAAATGATGTATTGAGTTAATACAGTGATATCAGTAATATAATAAAGGTATAAATAACGAGCATCTTGTGATCCAAACATCCAAAATTGTAGATATATAGATAGTGACCAGACCGGGGGCCAAAATCGACCTTGACAAATTGAACGAACACGTGAACAGTAAAGTGGTTAATTATAATCAGTTGAAAGGCTGTAAAAATACTGAGAAGAAAAGTGAATATGATTTATGAAAAAGGAAATTCATCAGTGATATATACATATTTTTTATAAGCCTTGGGCAGATATAATTTTTATATGATATAATGTGCCCAGCGAGCACAAAAACATCTCAGAGATGTTTAAAGTACGAGATTTCGAGACATTGAACCTAAACTGCGATGTTCTGTTCACACATGAATAGAACTATTATAGAACAGCCAATGTCCGCCGCAGGCGGCAATTATCGAGATGTCCGTCCTTGATATGTCACAAAACTACCTTCTCCCTAGTTCTTTTTAAAGCCTTTTCAAGGACACAACAAAACATTTTCAACGCGTCTTGCGCACATTGAATCGCTGTAAAAAAACATTTTCGAGGTACTTTTCTGAAGCCTTTTGTCAAAATGAACTTTTGCATTAGGATTCCATTTCCCTTGAATGAAAAAATGCATTAAAAATAGATTGAACATACAAATATTTTCTTGATATGAAATTACCTTCTTAATAGGTTTCTGAGTAGTGCTTACTACACACAGACATATAATTGGAAATAGGTTTCCCAATTTTTGAAATGTTCTCCACAATGCATAATTTTGCAAATGCGGAGAAGCTGTGTATTGATAAATTCGTACTTTTATGTATTGATTACACTGAGGCACCGAACAACACATCTTGCATATGATGGTAATTATTACAAACTAAATAAGTCTTCTAACACAATAAACTTCACCAAATTTCTTTCTGTTCGTTAGCAGCGTGATGTAAGCGTGACACGCTGCAAACGCGAATGCCAATTGCGAACAAGAAGAACAAAATCGAAAACAAATCAGAATTCATCGTATTGTGACGTAAGCATGAGACGTTGTGGTGGGGCAAACAAAGAAAGGGCACAAAAGAACAGAAACAATACTTTCAATATCCTTCTAAGACCTCTTTGGGAAGTGCATATTACGCCTCAAAAAAACATCCTCATGCCTACATTTCTAAAACATCCCAAAACATCCTAGGGATACCTCTCAGTAGGCCAACAAAGAAATGCCACAGAAGAACAGAAACAATACTTCAATATCCTTCAAAGACCTCTTTGGTCAGTGCATATTACGTCTCAAAATAACATCTTCATGCCAACATTTTCAAAACATCCCAGGGATGTTTGTGCTCGCTGGGTGTTGTTGAAGGGATTTTATTTGTGGATAATTGAAAAAATTAAGTTATTCAATTTTTAAAAACTGCTATAATTCATTACGAACTTACAAAATATCTATACATAATATTGTACTACAAAAAATGAAGTATTGCGTTAATACAGTAATATCAGTAAAATAATAAAGGTACAAATACCAATCATCTTGTGATGAAAATATCCAAGATGATAACAAAATACCATGAATAAATACCACGTAACTCATAATCTTTACATCATACGACAAGAACGCGCGATCCAATGGTTTCATACTAAATTTCTGAACAAAACATGGGTATTGAGATATGGGTCAAATTATACTAATGGCTGCACGGTAATACAGAAGAGGAGAGGAACTACTGAGACGTAGGTCATGTTTTTTCATCGATTTGTTTACAAACAAGGACATGTTGCCAGTTTTATTAGATGCCACTTGTGACTGCTTTTCTTGAATTTATTTCAGAAAAGCCAAAATTATCATTATTATAGATCTTTGGTAATATCAATATTATACTTGGTTATTGTGATGAAGTGATATGTTCAAGACTGCATAACTCCTTGTTGAACATGAGAGCGAAGTAAAAAAAGAAAAAGAATAAGTACCTATCTAAAATATTTCTGATGTCTATCTGTACCTATCACATAAGATGTACTCGAGGTTTCTTGAATCCAATTACAAAGAATGGTCTTGGGATACATTCGAAGTTGGAATGGCCATCATCTGGACATCTGTTCAATTCATTCTACAGAGGATGGTTTTCTTCTGACCAAAGTCAGGGTGAGATTTGATGCCTAACTCAAAACCGACATTATATCTTGATTCTCGCTTTCAGTTGAAGCTGTTGAAAACACTGTCCTCGAATTTTCAGATGATGTAATCACACTGTGTTGACATGATAAATTGTTTGTTTTTGATCCATCAGGAATAGATTCTGAAAGCTATTCGAGAAGTTCAATGAGAGCAGTCTAAGGAAAGGACCATTCGATTTGGGGAGTTTATATTGGCATTTAGCCTTTCATTAACTATTTGAAGAAGAAGAAGTCATTCTTCAGAAATGAACTCAGTGATTTGATACAGTGGAATGCGCGATACTTATTTAAACCATGAATTATGACAATTGATGTTATGAAATGTGCAAACATAATATGAAGAAATGTCCTTATTTTAAATATATTCTAACTAAGATCGGACATGTAGAGTGCAAAAATTCACATAATAATACTATCTTCTTATGTTCGAGATACGCCACTGGCGTCCATTTACATTTCGCCAACAGGAATTACAATGTTGCAGGTTGCAGCTGATGCATGATTTGTTCGTCCGCCATATTGGACACGCATTCTAGTCGTAAGATATAAAAGTTATGAGTTCTGTGATAAATACCAATTTAAAAATGGAAAAACACTACTAATACGAAAAAATCACTCGGTGCTGACAGCAAACTGATTCAGACATCCCAAAATGAGTTTGATGTGGAGAACTGCTTATACAAGTTGGTGAAAAATATATTTCATATTTGAAAGTAGATCTACTATTTATAATAATATATTGGAATGATTGCATTCTTTGAAAGAATCTAAAATGAAAATATACCTTATACCTGAGAATCATGTAATACAAAGCCCAGAATTACACAGTTGTGGAGTTTTCGTTATGTTAAAGCATCAGTTAGAATAAATTTCGAAAAATTATGAAAAATATTTCAAGGCCTTCATTGAATTCAAAGATCTGATAATATTTAACCGCTAAATAAGTCTTTCTTGTCAAAGCATTGAAAGTAACACAAAACAAAGAAAACCAACGATATAGCTACATCTGTAACATTCATGTCTATTGTTCTAGAGTGCCTAAAAGATCTGCCGTTCAATATCTTAAGAAATATGACACACAATTGCTTTTTATGAGAGATGGAATGAGCTCTTCTGTATCCTTTCATTAAACGAGTGTAGACACATTTTTCACTGGAACCCAAACAGTGGGGCACCATTGAAGGCATATTATTTAGTTTATTGCATTTACAAATAACAATACTTATTATTTAACGAAAACTGGTAAAATACTATTTTTCATGCAATTGTACTAATATAATGAAAATATTCTTAGCAGGAATCATTTTGTCTCATTCTTGGTTTAAACAATTATTATTAATTAATATTCAACTATTTGGAGGATAAAATAACTTTGAGTTGAAAACCAGTGACTACGAATTATATCAATTCTCAATACTTCTACAGCTGTTAATAATAAACGTTTTCTTCTAATTGACGCATTAGAATAGTATATTACACATGGAGGTGGAAAGTGAGTCATTCCTGGCGTGAGATTAGTTAGTTAACCGAGACGCAAAGCGTATCCAAATACGTTTCTTTATATTCTCGTCACATTTGAATTATCTCTTGTCATTTTTTGAAAGAGCAAATAGGCAGTGAAGCACCATTTTATTGATACTCCTATTCACTATTTAGAACTGACGTTCTACATCCAGAAATCATGAGACTGCTAGTAGTGATAAATATGTCCTGCCTCTCTAATAGGTCAGATCTTCTAAACACTTTAGGCCCGATTGAGGGTCAATTTAAAATTCCAACCAGTTGAATTAATTGCTCATCATCGATAGAATCAAATTTTCATGTAGCATGTTCCTTCATTGACTTGATATTTCAACACTGAATAAGTTAATGTAGCATGAACTAGGCACCATCTAGTAGTTTTATATTATCAGATTCTTTATTGAATCACATCTATACTGATCACAACCCATATTTTTCTTAAAATATTCACAATACTAAAACATGAAATCGTACAAGAAGATAACTTCAAATTATCTTCAATAATTACAAGTACTAAATTATTCAAAAGGTAATATTTGAAGATATTTTTTTTCTTAATTATATATGGACGTTACCTTAGAGTTTTCTCTAGATATTCAAATTAAGATATTAAATCTAATTATTGTCTGTAATGATCAATTCGGAAATAGAATGCAATATCACAAAAACACCGACTTTGGTCAAATGTGCTAAAAAATACTGAAGGTAAATGGATTTTATTGTTGAAACCTCACCATAGCTTCTCAACAGTACATACGATTGACATTGCAATGCTTATAAAATATTATTTCCCTATAATTATAGCTATAATCTTTCGATTATATGGAAAAGTGACTTTTCTATGAAAATGTAAATAAATAAAATAATTATAAATGGGGTGTAGTAGGCGATTGTGGTGCGACGGTTTTATCTGTACATCTTCCTAACAATAATTCCTGCTCCTCGGGTCGTATGCTCAATGACCTTGATAAATTCGATTTCAACCTGTGCAATGGAAATCAATAAAAATAAGGAATTTAACAAGACATTAATACATATTGCAATCGACAGCCAATGCGTGAAAATTTTAGAACGAAAAAAGTTTAGTTCATCCATACACAAGAACACACAACACAAACAACAATTTGACGTTTCAATCATTTAGCACAAAGCAGAGCAAAATAATGGAACGAAAACCGAATGGCACCGAATGATTATTAGACCAAAATGAAAATCAGTATCAAAAAGCATAGTGAGAAATGTTAAGGCCCCATGAAAAACCTATAAAACACAACAGAATAATGATATAAATGCCTTGTTGATGATGATAAGAAGTTATGATGAGTTCATCTATCAATTGTAATTTCAGACTGATAGGAGACAATTGAATTCACAATGATTGCTTGTTTCGCATATTCAAAGTTATATAGCGCGAGTATTAGAAATAATTTCAAAGCTTCTTCAAAAATATTTTGACATATTATAATCTGGAAATTTTGTCTCTGAACTGTAAGCAACAAGGGTAGTCCGTTTTATACAGAAACCAGACTGTACCTTATCTTACAAATGAGGAAATTATGTTTCTGACTATAGTATTTGGTTCTTGAATAATGGTACATATTCCTGGGGGGTTTTTTATATTTGCGCTTGTCTACAAATACTCAAATCACCAAGATCTGTCAACAGACTGTTTTTGTAAATAAATTATTTATATTTTGAGTATGAAATGGAGAATGAATCCAAATAAGGTAGTTTCAACATAAAACTGATAATAAATTGTATACTGGCATGCTGACATATCCGAGCAGATAATTATGAACCTTTTATGAATACCGGGTGTAGCAATTAGAGCGTGATTTTTTGCATGAAATTTGAAATACCCTGTAGAGTGTAAGATAAGATAGATGAGAAAGATAAGAAACATCATTTTATAGCATGACATGATTTTATTGAATTCAATTAGCATTATAAGCACGTAAGTGGCAGGCTATGGTCTGGGGAGACGCACGGAACTTGTGATCATAAATGGAAGTATTACAGCTGAACGGTACACATTCGGATTCTAGAACCACATGAAGAGTGTACGGATTTTTGTTGATGCAAGATAATGCCAGGCCTCACGTCACCAGAGTTATGAGAAAATATCTAGAGGAAGTTGGCATCGCTGCCATGGCATGGCTAGCTCGGAGCCCGGATTTAAATCCCATTTAGTATCTATGGGACACTCTTGGAAGAAGATTACAAGAACGTAACTTGAATACTTTGGGACTGATTCAAATTTGGGAAGACCTGGACCTAAATGACATAAGGTCTCTTATTTCAAGTATGGGCCGTCTTTGCCGAAAAGTTATTCGTGCCCGATGCGGAAATACTCCTGTTAAATACAAATATCTTCATTGTGAAATAGGTACTGTCAGATAAACCAATGATTTGTGCCTGACAGACGAAGGGCAGTAAAAGTTTAAAAATATATATTATGTACACAAAATATGAACTGAAGAATTTTCTAATTACCAGTGTCCAGCAAAGTATCTCTTCCATTGAAAATTTTGCAGTTTATATCTATTTTGGAGATATGAGAATTTGCTATTCAACTTCTTTCCTATCTCTTAAAACAAAAAAGTATAGGGAGCAATATATATTTTCAAAAGAAATATCATTTTCACCTTGAATTTCACATTATTACAGTTTCAGTTTATTAATTATCAAAATCATCAATATAATTGATAAATCTATGATTGATGTAAGTTTCAATTGTGTGGACAAGGAAAACGTTCAATTCAGAGAGATGAAACAAAAATGTGACTGATGTAATGGATTTCAAAAGCAAAGTGTAATGAGGAAGTTTCCTTTACTAGTTTTCATCAAATACGTTCATAATTACTTAGTGATATATTTCTACTACCCATAACCACCATTAAAACATACAAATCATCAACTTTCTCAAAAATAATACCAAATGATTCTTGAAGCGGTGAACTATGACGTAAAAGCTGAATGTGGAATGAATATATCTATGCTATGATCAACGTTAGTGAAGCCTCAAACAGGATAGCCGAAAGAAGAAAATATATCTCAAAATTTGTCGGTATGATATAAATGTCTCTCGAAGAATAATGAATCCGTTAGGAAGCCATTTCATATTACTACATTTTATTTCAATGGCAAACTTTCATAGTGTCAGTAATTTTGTTAGGAGCCCTCATCATCATTAACTATAACATTATGTTGATTAATATTTTGTCTTTAGCTATAATTTCATATGATAAAATTCGAGATCAGTCAGTTCAGAAAAGGTAAACCCCGAATCCATCATATTTTTATTGCATGGTGATATTTTATATTCAGTGTGGAATATCTGAATAATGACAAATCCAAAAATAACCAGCAAATTCGTATTCGCGCATGTTGAACTTGCACATTTGCCCTGTGTGAACATGGTTGTAAGTGAGTACGTCAACCACTGGTGGAGGAACCGATAGCACAAAAAACTCGACAAAAAAATAAAAATCTCAATTCAAAAAACTTCCTCATTATCCATAAAAGAGTAATTTAATCATCAAGAGAATATAAATGAACTAGTTGATGCAAGCTGATATATTATTTCAAGCATGTCTTATGCGGTTTATAGACTTTTTATTCCAAGGATTCCATTCAAACAAGATAATACAACCACTGATAGATAGAAAGATAGAAACAGCAATACAAATATAGATTTATAAATGAGATGTCCTTAGGATAAGAAGTCAATGAATGCGGTTAATATAATTACCAATTCTCTCATCACAGAAGTATCACAGCAGTCCCAGCTCATTGGGAATTTAGGAGTAAATTGAGTCTTGAACAACAAAAATCACTTGTTATTTTCGTCATCATGAATAAATTATTAATGAACGATGGAGAGATGAATAAATTATTAATGAACGATGGAGAGATGAATTTCAGACTAAATATCGCTATCAATTTTGCTTACCGACTCAGCCGTTCTTCCTCTCGAACCTTCTTCAGCCTGGAGAACTCGTCATCCTCCTCGTCAGTCATGGAACCACCTATGCTGACATTGTCCTGACATTTTTCATCCGTCGAGGTACCAGGCGCAGAGGTAGAAATCCGTGGAAAAGGATCGTAAATATCTACTCCCCTGCAAGAAAATAGTATATTACACACCGGAAAGAGATTCATTCCTGTCGTGAGATTAGTTAGTTAACCGAGCCGCAAAGCGTCGAGATTAGTTAGTTAACCGAGACGCAAAGCGTCGAGATTGGCTATGATATCGAGACAGGAATGAAGCTTTCTACCGAGGTTTGTACACTATTTTATTTACAACCATCATACAGGGTTTCTATAAATGATAGTAACATCGTAGTTGCCGTTGAAATATTTTCTCCATTTGCCGCCTTTCATTTATGGAGATTCACTTCGAATTTAATTTCTGACATCAATCATTATACTGTCATAGCTGCTAAACTCGCAATTGTCAGTTTTTCGTCAACATTTTCAAACGATTCTGTTTTCTACTTCGTGATTGTCGTGTTGAAAAGAGGGATGGCTTATTCCTCGGAGCAGAATACATTTATTGCAATGTCTTATTGCCAAAATGGCACATTCATCAATGGTGGATGGAGTAACTCGGTAGTTGCCTGCAAGGATGAGTACCTACCTGGCGAAATATCCTAATGTACAGATTCAAGAATCTTCTTTGAAAGCCCACATCAGAACAGTGATCAACAGATTCATCCAAACTGGAAACGTTAATAAAGAGAAGTCAACAGGAAGGCCCCAAATATCGAAAGAAGTTGTTGAAAATCTAAAGGCGCGTGTTGAGCAAAATCCCCAAACGTCATTGAAGAGATTATCTTTATAATCTGGTGTGCCACTAAGTACATGCCATAAAGTGCTCAAGAAAAGATTTCATATGCACCCTTACAAGACCAGTGTACTACAGCAACTTCTGCCAATAGATATCCCACGTCGCCTGGAGTACTGCCAATGGTTCCAAAATAATCTAAACGATGACCAGCTATTGGACCTAACATTTTTCAGCGATGAGGCTTGGTTTCATTTGTCGGGATACGTGAACTCTAAATTCTAAAAAATTGGGGTGTGGTTAGCAGTTTCTCGTAGGCGAATAAATGGACCGATTTTCTTCGATGGCACTATCAATGGTGAAAGGTAGGGACAAGTGATGTTAGAACCATTCATCAATCAACTTGATGATGAAGAAATTCGAGTTGGCTATTTTCAGCAAGATGGGACCACTACCCGCACCATATGTGCAAATTTAGAATATTTACAATAATTTTATGACAACCGTGTGATAAGTCGAGGAGTTAATCCTTCTTTTCCAACACATTCTCCAGATTTGACGCCTTTGGATTTCTGCCTTTTTAAATATTTGAAAGACGAAGTATTCATGAGAGAAAATAATAACCTTGAAGAGCTGCAAGCCTCAATAACACATTGCTGCCAAAATATTGGCCCGGAGATGCTGAGGAACATTTTCGACAACAAACGGCGAAGAGTTTTGAAATGCTTGGAGAACAACGGAGAACATTTGTTGTAGGTTAATGAAATAAACCGTTATTTATTACTTCTTTAATAAATATTTTGGATTTGTTCCATTACTTTTCAAACTCCAATATTGGACTCTCCTTTCTTTGAGATACATTTCCATAGTGTATGCAAAACGATATAAAAAAAGATCCTATACATGATCACTTCCTCCCTTTTTGATCGTTAAAAACAACAGTTAACAGCAGTAGTAGAAAGCGGCAAATGGAAAAAAAATGTCAACAGCCACTACGATGTTATGATCATTTATAGAGACCCTGTATGTCGAACAAAATTAATAAACCTCTGTTTCGTTCTGAACATACCTAAAATATTTCATGTAACGAAAAATTACCAAAAGTTCGAAATATGACTCTGCTCCTGAGGTTGGTAGATTATCTTGAATAGCCCTGAAGATGGTGTTTTAATGGTGTCTTCGAAACGGAATTATTGTAGGTATGTATACCCATACTACACTTTTTATGATGAATTCAAAAATCAAGTGAGGGCGGGAAATAGAAATGTGTAATGTGACACTTCCCAACCTTCAATAACGTTAGTAATGAAAGCATCACATATACAGATGTGCACAAAAAACGAGCAGGATTGTAACTTTTGAATTATTGTAGATAGGGTTTTGAAAATTGGTGGGTAGCAAGTATACCGAATTGCTCATTAATTGATGAAACAATTTTTCTTCTATCCAGTTTCACCGGAAACGACCCCAACTTTTGTTTTTTAAATGGGACACCCTGTATTAATTCAACGATACCGAGTTTGACAGGGTTATTTTAAACGATGACGAAGATATTTTCGCATATTATTTCGCACTATAAAACAGCACATGACACGTATTTCACACTAGTTAGTTAACCGAGACGCAAAGCGCCATATTGGATCCGCCATCTCAAATTTTCCAATTTTGACAAAAGAATCATAATCTTCGACCCCAAAAACCCCCAGATACCAATTTTGAATATAAACGGATTATAATTACAAAACTCGTACGCCATATTGGATCCGCCATCTTGAATTTCTTATTTTTTTCTCTCATAGAAACCTTCTCCTGACAATAACAAACACAACAAAGATTTAGTGAAATCGGTCAAGCCGTTTACGATTCTATAAAGGAAATACAGACAAACATTCATTTTTATATATGTATAAAGAACCTGCCGGTCTTTTCACAATATCTAAATAGAATGTACTCATAAAACCTAGCACACGCGCATCGATGACTTTTGTGACAATCAGATTCTGATTCGACTTGAATATAACTAACCTTGTTTCATAACTATGACTTCCAGCATTCGGGACATCTATGGGGGTAGTGGGCGAAGGTGGACCAAAAAAGTCTATGACGCTAGGGCGTGGTTCCTTGGCAGATCGTTGCGATGTTATAGTGGTTTGTTCGTCAACCTAAAATTAATTTCGTTGATCCAACTTCGATGATAAAGAATGCCTGAATGTCAAAGTATCCATTATTTCATTGGGTAATGCAGGCAGCTTTCCTTATGAAAAATGTTACAACCTGTAACTTCGTCATGTTAGTTTAGATTTGGAACTATTAAAAACATAACTAGTGATCAAAAAAACACTATAACAATTTATTCAACAAGAGTAAACTGATTATAGAGGGGTTTTTTACAAATTTTATCAACTTTATTCTTTAAACGTTCTTAACAAAAAATGAAACGATTACAGCTTGCGGCGTTTTCTGTCAGATAATTATTGATTGACTGAATATGATTACATCTGAACAGAAAATGCTCCGCTCCGATACAGATTGATTCATTGGAATTTCATAGACACACTCTTGTAAACGTGACGGTGTAAGAATGCGTAATTTTAGTCGGATTTCAATCTATTAGAATTTACGCCACAAACCTATTTCATTTTGATCATTTCTTGTATAAATAGTATTCAATGCAATCATTCGTTATTTAAAATAATCGCAAATATATTTTTTTCAATAATGAAATCCGGCACCTTCGAAAAACGCCAGCTTCGATGACGCCAGGAACCGAACCGAAAGTCATCGTTATCTGAATTCTGGCTTTCGCATAAAAAGCAGGACCACTTATTTCAACGCTGCCAGATTTGTAACTGGTAATTACCTTATGAGATTCAATATGACCAATGACAACTGTATTTACATTCACAGTAGACAATAGTTCCACCTGGTCCCTAATAATTACTTATTGAATACTACACTTGCAAGATGCCTCAGTACCAATGAAAATATTCTAGAATTCCTAATAATGATCGAGATTTTATTAAAATTTTGTGGCCCTGGCAACAGCGTGCCTAGAGTCTCGAGAAATACAAGAAGAAGACGAACAATGCCATCTGTCAGCTTCATATTCAAATCCTCTTCATCTATTCAAGATGCGAATATTCAAAGATATTCCTCTTATTATCTCTTTCCTCAGTTGTGTTCTCTGTTATCTGCAGCAAGTATTCAGTCCAGAAAATTCACTAGAGTCTAGGGCGAGCACGTTCCGAGGAGGCGATTATTTTTCATATTTTGATTGAAATGACAATCAAAAATATTCTTGCACTTGTCCTACAGAAATATAGGATACGTATGTCGAATTTTTTGAATGAATACGTCACACGTTTTCCCGCGTTTTTCATGTTTCGATATAACGTGAATTTCAATAATTATTTAAAAAATGTACAGAGCTCTAAGAAGTTAGAGTTAGTACTTCAAAATAATGAAATGAAATTGTTCACTTAAACAGGCCCATTTGACCATATGTACCTGGTCAACCTGTCATGATATCTTTTCACCTTCCTGCAATGTATTCCTCACTTCTTATTGATTCAACACTAATACAATGAAGGTTTGATCAATTGTCTCATTACCCCAAGACACATGTTTGTTCATGACCAGGACATACAACATAATATTGTATATTATACAAAAAATAAGAAATGATCGTTATATTGTGAAATGGTCATGTATCAGAAAAAAAATCCATTATATTGATGTATTTACCCAAACTAGTTCACTATCATAAACCATTTTCTGCCTGAAGTTGAGTGTGACGACATAAACCATAACAAATCCAATTCAACAATTTACGATTTTAACAACCTATACCTTCCTATCATTATAATGATTTTTTCGACTCATTTGAAGAAAAAAACGACTTATCTGGTTGATAATAATTATTGAGACTCAAGTCGGATGCTTTTGATTTTTATTGTGATGATGGATCAATAATTACTAAGTGCCTTACCTCTTCGATGACTTGATCAGTTATCTTCTTGTTGCTACCAACAGTCTTATTGATCGAATCTCCCATCAAGTTATTCATTTCATTGGCTTCCAATTTCTCTTCTGGCTTACTTTCATCTCGACTGAAAAATCGCCTCAACATGTTAGTAACTGAGTTATGCCTGGAGATAGCATCTGAAACAAAATTATTCATCTCTACATTCAAGATCAGGAACGTTTTTGAGTGACTATAGCAGCCAATTTTCAAGAACCAACCAGAAACTGTAATTTTCACGTCATACCGTATGCTGTCAAATATGTGTTGTTTATTTATATGAAAACTTATCAAGCCCTCTTATATACCAGTGTTTCTATATCCGGAAAGTTTCATTAGTTCCTGATCTTATTGAAATATGTGTGATAGAAGTATAATGTTCCAAAAATATTGGTGAAACGCAGCGTTGACAGACATATGTCCAGTCCTCATTTGAGTACGTGCAGCAACATTAAATGCGAGTATCACAAGGATCAATGATAGGTTTTATTTCGCTTCTCATTCATTTCATGTCATTTTCATTGCAAGGTAGAACTTATATTTTCTAATGAAAATAATATAAATGATTGCATTTTCTAACATCATAATTACCTGGGATAGAAGTCTCAAAAGACATGTGAGGACTTGGCATAGAAAGTGATGGACCCTGAGCGGGAATAGGACTGCATGACGTTCATTTTCGGCAGGGAATGTGTCATTAGTTCCTGATCATATGGCCTATTGGACGCATCGTTGACAGACATATATGAGTACCACAAGGATCAATCGTGGGTCCTATTTATTTTCTCATTCATTCATTAGAGATCAAATTTTCTGACATTATCATTATCTGGGAGCGAAACCCAAAGAATTCTGAGACCTTCTCGACCTGAACGAGTACGGCCGAGGTTTGGCAGAGAAGGTCCAACCCAGAATAGGATTGCATGTCGTCTATTTTCGGCATGGACGGCGTCCTTAGCTCCTGGTGGCAGCAGTGTAGTGTTACAGATATATTAGTGAAAGGCAGCGTTGACAGACATAATTAAGTCCAGTCCACATTTGAGTAAGTGCCGTAACATTGAACGTGGAGTACCACAAGGATCGATTGTTGGTCCCATTCCACTTCGCATTTATTTATTTGATAAGATCAAATTTGTGGGATAAGCAAATGTCACCTAAAGGGAGCACTCAGGAAATGGGAAGGAATTGAAAAGTCCTCCTTCTGGAGAGCAACTCCAGGTCAACGACAAGCGAAAAGGTTCATCAACCATTCGCAGAACCGTGCCAAAGAGCTTCTCAGCATCAGCAAACCAGAGCTAAAGCTTATCACAGGCTTTCTCACAGGACACCGCCCTCTGAGGTACCACCTCAAAAAGATGGGCCTGGCGGAGACTGACACTTGCCGCTTTTGTAACAATGCGACCGAAACCGCGGAACACATACTTTGCTCATGTGAAGTATTAGTCCGCCAAAGGCTGAACCACCTAGAACAGGTCTATCTCACCCCTGCTGAAGTGGAAAAGTCAACCGTCAGGAAAATCGTAGGCTTCATCAGAAGTCTAGGGTTAGAGGACCAAAACTAGATAGGGGTAAGTGATCGAGAGGTCTCCCAGCCTATACGACCCATCTACAATCTACAATCTACAAGATCAAATTTTCTGACATAATCATTACCTGGGACAGATGTCATCCAACACCGAATAGGACTGAATGTCCTCCATCTTCGGCAAGGAATGTGTAATCATTTACTGATCCTATTGCATATTGGCTATATTAAAAATGTATAGTAGAAGTGTAATGTTACAAAAATATCGGGTCCTCAACAATGATTGAACACCACGTGACCAAAATGTGTTAGCAACCAACACTGCACAGTTGGTAAATAAATAACTGAAAATTAATAGCTGCTATCAAAATAAATCATAGGCGTATGGAATATTTGCATTCGGAAATGCATCATGAAATTGTTACCGACAGCTTTGAAGTGAATATGTTCACGTTCCATCAGGATTACGAGTACCGCTTCTGAAATGTGCCGTCAGTAAGAAAGCATCTATTTCACCAGAAAAAAAAACATAATTTATCCTGAAAGGAAAATAAGAACATGAACAATAAAAACATGAGGTTAATTATTGTTCTTACCTTTACACAACAATGAATTGGAGATGCAGTTTTGACAAAACTGTTTTTTGCAAAGTAATAATATTGTGAGTGAAATAAATAAATGATATCAAGAACCATATAAACTATCAACAAACCCAGGAGAAAAGACAACGCTACTTTGGTGGTAATGAGCTACAGCTGTGCAGTATAAATTTCGAAAACATAAAATTGAAGAAACAGATTTGCAATCCAACTTTCCTGTTTTTAGTTTTTGTAAACAGGGCAAGCTATTGGCTGCTATGACAGTTGACAAGTTAACGGGCCAACCAAATTGCGAAGAACGTGCACCACAGAACGTAAACACTAGAAACTACAGCCATGAATGATCCAAGGTGCTAATATGACATATATGATGTTACCTGAGTAAACATGATAACAAAAATGTATTGTTGGTGTTTAATCATTGTTGAAGACCCGGTATAAGTGAAACGCGCACAAATCCGTGTCGTCCAAACATATGAATAGGAGAGCAAAAGGAGCGATTTGGGAGGTTCCGCTCTTCCCAGCTCTGTATAAATATCGAGTTTTGAGGAGTTGCTTCCTAACTTCGAAGTAGCGATATGAAAATGTTACCAAAAACAATATAAAAATTTCACCTGGGACAGATGTTCCTAAAGAATTCTGAGATCCTCTCGACCGGAACGAGTACGGCCGAGGTTTGGCGGAGAAGGTGATGGGACCGCCGTCCAACCCGGAATAGGACTGCATGTCGTCCATCTTCGGCAGGGAAGGCGTCATCAGCTCCTGGTCCTGCGGCCTGCTGGCGATGTTCGCCGTCGAGGGCAAAGGGTACGAGTCCCTGATGGCCCTCGACGCCTGCGTGGAGGGCAGCTCTTGGGGGAACTTTTCGTCCCAGTACTGGTCGCGCACCAGCTCTGGATGGTCGTGGTGCATCTCGTCGACTATCATGTAGGATACCTGGAAGGTCCTCACACGTGAATACTTTGGAGTGATGACCTGAAGTCTCGCTGGTAGAGCTCTTAAGAAGTTAATGAGGGTTCTGATCACAATGAGGGTTGGACTAACAAGAAATGTGTATACAGGAATATATGAAGATTATGCAGTATAAAAAATATCACAGTATTAATTATTCAATTGGACATATTCGTCAAGACAGTAAAAAGCATGGTGTAATAGATATTTTTTTAAATGCACTTTAAAAATGTTGGTACCCTGCAATGATTTCAGGTTTGGAGGTAGCATGTTGAAGAAATAGCCTCCAGCACAAAGAGGAGATTTTCTATGCTGCATTCTTTTAATTTGATGCATACGAAAATCGGTACGTCTTCTTGTAGGGTATTCATGAAATTCTCTGTATGTATCTAGCTTTCCCATATTATTGTGCGTGTATAGCAATAATTTGTATAGGTAAATTGAAGTGAATGTTAAAATGCCGCTTTCAATAAATGTGTCTTTACAGGACTCATGAATCTCTTTTTCGAAAAAAATAACCTAGAAGTTTCTGTGACCCTGCCCCATACAATTATGTTATTGCTTAATATAGAATATACTAGAGCATAGTACATGTTTATAAGATGATCTCAATGGAAGTTTGGCTTCAAGGTGTTGAAAGCATTATACAACTTGTTCAGTTTTTTACAGATAGTGTCAGCTTGACTGTTAAAAAATAGTTTATGGTCTACATCCAAGCCTAGAAATTTTGTTTGTTGTGATGTTGAGATCTTCGTGTCACAAATATCATAATTAAGATTTTCTGTTGAATTGAAATGGCTAGTTCTATCAGCACTGTCTTATTTATGTTATTAATGAGATGGTTCGCTCTACACCAACAATTGAAATTTTCGGTGACAATCTTGATTGTTATTTAATTCTGTCCTATTGTTAGCAGTAACAACAATTGTGGAATCATCCGCATAGATGATAGTACGTCCTTGAGCGATGTGATTAGGCAGGTCATTGATATAAAGAGTGAAGAGGAGAGGCCCCAGCACTCCGCCCTGGGGTGTACCAATTCTGATATCATACTCATTTGACCATTCATCCCCAACCTGCACCTTGATAGTTCGGCCGAACATATACTATTCAATCCATCATTGTTTGGGCCCACGTATGCCCATTGCTTGAAGTTTGATTCTCAAGTACTTCGAATTGATCGTGTCAAATGCACGACTAAGATCAAAGAATATTGCCACAACAAGCTTATGTTCGTTGATGTTGTCATAGATGTGTATGTAATATACTATTTTAGGGACGTGAAAGGACATATCTTTTCATAGGTAGGAAGATTTCATCAGTTTTTCTGAAGCCAGCGCATAAACCGGCACTGAATTGTTCACCTAACCGTGAAATACCCTAACTGATCTGTCAATGTCTGTTATAACATCATATTTTCAAGTGATGTTGGAGAAGTCACATCAATGTCGTTAGTAGCTATCAATTATTCCAGAATTATGCGTAAGCCATCTGACAGAATGGCCTTTCCATGCAGTGACGGCAGGGTCGGCCGGGTCGTACCAGAAAATTTGAGGAAAAAGCTGACCTATTTGATGAATAAAATAATTTTTCTAAATTGATTTCAATATTCATCGTTTATTATGCTACTGTTATGCCACTATCATTTGCATTTCATGCACTGAAACATTTGGGTAAGTAAATAAGCCATCTGAATATACACCGAAAATCACAAACTAATTCAGGACCTACGACATCTGGCTATCCCCTCGTCAAAACGCCGCTTTACGTAGAAACGCTCGCGTAGCTCATTGCACTACTGCAGTCGGCTGGCCAATCGGTGACTTCATGTCTCGACGTATCGCCCGGATCAAGTTGAAATTCTCACGTATACACGTCATACAATTGTATGGTCGTGCTTGGCTGGTATGTTTTAACTATACACAAAAATATAAACTTTTGTAAATGATGGAAATAGGATTAGGTAGAGCTTTGCATGAAATCAAATCATATGGAATGATATCTAATGTTTTCAACTCTTGATTTGATGATCATTCTCAAGCGAATGGAAATGAAACGATAGCCATAATTGCGTTCATGCTGCTGATAACACAAAACATTTCGATAGAAGTTCACCAGTTGATAGATGATATCCGCAAACGTTTCACTTCACTGCTTTTACAGTGAAAGAACCCGAAAAGTTCAGAATGTCCTTGCACCTGAATCACAGTAAATTCGGCACTCGGCAGTGGTCAACTGACACCATATTCCCATTTCCCATCATCATACACGAAATAGCTTCTTAGGATCAATTTGTTATTAGTATTACTTCTGAATGAATGTTAGTTTAAGTGGAAGTGTTGAAAAGTTGCTGTTTAATTACTGTTACCATCACCAACTCAGATGTTTGCTGTGAAGATAAGCCCCATTACATACCTGTAAATTCCTCTCTACTATTTGGTCAACCTCAAAATCATTGATTAAACATTTTTTGACAACACATAACGTTAACATTTCGACATACCTGTAAATTTCTGTCGACCATCCAGTTCACCTCAAAATCGTCATCGTCGTCGCCGAATGGGTTTATCATTGATTCAGCAACTTTCAACCACCCAATGTAAAAGAAGAATTGTAAAGTGGTGAAAATGGGAAAGTACAAATCGAATTTGTATTTATTCCCGTCTGTCCATTGATGCGCCATTACGTTAGTCAGAAAATAGCTGTAGACAGCCAACGTCACAACCTGAAATATAATGGGTTGCGTGCGTACAAGATCTGTCAGATGACCGACCCTTGAGGTAGAACATTGAAGTATAACCTCACTTTTATTAATTGTTTACAAATGATTGAAATAGTTTTTCACAATTATTTTGGCATAAGAATCGTGTTTTTTGACTATTCAATAATTCAAGCATGCCATTAAATTGTGCTGTTGTACAATAATACACAAAAAATGCAGCGAGAGACGAAGGAATCCGATTTGTCAGATAGGTACATTGTGATCTGAAAGTACTGTAGTCACTCACATATAGTTCTTTTTTTGATATAAGAGTTAATAGAAATACTCGTGGTGAAGTTTCTGAAAGAAGACAAGAAGATCGGATTCGTGAAATCAAACAGAAGGACTGATCTGACCTGCTGACGAATTATGATCGTGTGTGTTGTAGAAATTATCACTCTAGTAGCAGTATTAGCATTTATTGCAGAAGTGGCAGAAGGAATTCTAACGAGAAAGGACAAGATTTCATAATGAAAACTATGTGAGATCACAAAGCACAATGAGATGGCATACTTGAATTGATGAATTTTCCAAAAAACACGATTCGTATGCCAAAATATTGTGAAAAACTTTTATTAATTTTTTACCTGCGTGTATACTAATGGAATGTTAATGTGGTCATAAGTTAAAAGGACTCCACACTTGCCGCGGAATTTATTCAATTCGTCTATTATCGTTTTAACAGCGAAATCATCTCTTATCCTTCCTTCTTTTCTTGCCCTTGTTACTATACTGGATGCCCAAACAAGAGGTAACCTGAAATCATAACAAATCAATACTGGCATTTTTCAAAATATGAAATTTTGCTCTTTACATATCCGAAAATGATCTAATTATGACCTATCTACTCAAATTTGCAATATTTGATAGTTATTTATTGAGGCCCCTTCAAAGTTGGCAACTTGTCTTGCATGCAACGAAAGTTGCAGGAATCGTTGCGGACGCGATAATAATTGGAGTGTTTTACAGTTGGCAAGGCATTGCTGCAGTTTCTTAAATGACTTTTGGAACCATTGATTTTAACTTATAGATTAGGAAGAAAATAGTAACCATAGGGTTCAAAGAATTTTATATTGTTAGGGTGGTGTTCCGTATTTCACTGAAATTGTGCCAAGAATTGCAGGTGCAATGCAATAAAAATAGGTCAAAATTGTTGCAATTAATTGCATTAATTCAATTCATTATTATTTTAGGAAGGAATTGAAAATATCATAATTTGAATTCAAATGGAACAAGACAATCAAATTTCTCAATAGCAAATAATTATATGTTATTTTGACAAATAATCAATATTTCATAGTGGAATAGTTTTTTCTACGGCTATAAGAAAAATGCTCTTGTTTCACTTTCGATAAATGAATGAGGAACTTTGTATGTCATCAATTTCATTTCCGTATCTGATATCACAATGACTTCATTGTGTAATTATTTCAAAAATATCACATGTCCCATGAAATGTCAAAGTTCAAGAAATGACAGCTCTGTCCAATAGGAGCGCATTACTTATTAAGGGAAAATCAGATGGCTACAAGCCGAAGATGAATGAAGATGATGAAAATAATAATTTTTTCTCGATTTATACAACAGAAAACAACTACTTTCATGGCTATATGCCACGACGAATATTGAATTATATCTATTGAACACACACGATTGAAATTTGAAAACAAAATCTTCTGAAAAAAAAAATACAATGTCATTAGGTTCTATTGGAAAAAATTTAATTTTTGATCAAAATATGAAATGATTCATCGATTCATAACACAAAAAATAGTTTTTCAGAAAAAATATGTCTCTCTAGTATGTGGGACTGACTCATTGTGAAAAGCTTTGATCACATTTCATTTATCCATGAGGATAAATAAAAAAACAATTTTAATTTCAGGATTTTCGAAAAAAATACATTTGACATTCTGTTGAACTAGAATATGTAAGAATGTACAGGATGTTCCATTTGAAGGAACAAAGTTGCTGGGAAAACCGGAAGCCCGCCATATTGGATTGTAATGTGATCAAATAGGAAATAGTTGCTTATATATCAAATTTCAGGAAAATCCGTTCACGAATGCATAAGTTACAGTGGTGGCCCAATACCCTGTGTAACCCGGTATAATAAGTTTGCAAAGTTTATGCATTGTTGAAATACCATATCATTTTTATGAAATGATAATTATGATGTTATACTTGTTCTAACTATTACACTGTAATTTCCATTGATATCAACGAATATCATTATAGTGAATGATTATCTTTCAGTTCCAAATACCACTCAGATAATTAACTAATCCAGTGGAAAATGTCTGCTTGTTTACTGGACATATGAACAGCTAAAAAAATCGATGGGTAATAACATATAATTAGGAATGTTGGAAGGCTGGAAATCATGAAACATAACATGCAATGTTGAAGAATTGAATTGAACTGTGAAATCTCCAACATATTGAAAATTAACCATATGTTGCGTCTCATAATACGTCATATACTGGATGAGTACTTAAAAATCAAACATATTTTGGTTATCACCAATTTCCTATTTATTTTTATAATCAATAAATTTATACGATAAGATAGAAATTCAATAAAATCGACTAGAGATGTCCCATTAATAGTTCAACAACTCACCAATGTTTGGAATATTTTGGAAATTTATTATTCAAATCTTCCATAATTTCTTTTTCACTTGCTTGCAGCAATCCGGCATCAACAAAATGATCCAGTGTTGGGAAACGTTTCTTAACTCTGGGAGATATCATTGTGAAAACCATTGTAACACATAAACATACATATCTCATGATGGTCCGTCTCATTACTCTTCCTCTTTCATCCTGAAGAAATTGAATGTTTTATTCTGATTTTAACTCCTTCACTTTGAATATAGCATGTCCCTTGTTCCAATGGAAAATCATATTCATGTCAGAAAGAAAAAATTGTGATTTTCGTGAATTGATATGATCAATTTAACAAAATAAAAATCGTGATTAAAGTCTCTTATTTTAACTCTACACATTTTCGTGAAATATGTTGAAATATGATCTACCACAAATTTTCTCAAAATGGTGATCATTTTTGGAAATCAATTCATTTCTGATTTTCTTCCATTTCACAATCTGGAAATTTTTTGAAGTCATCGACCACAGTGAAGTGAATTTTGGCAATATGAAAACGTACTACTTAGGGATGATGATAAGAAAATTGATATTTTTTGGCTTTTGGTTCTAAAATAAACCAGGATATTAGATCCTGCAACATTGACATATGGCATTGAGAAACACTCTATGTATAGGTCAGCTGACAGTTGACAGACATAGACTTCAAATATTAATCATAGTAACAAATAAACTCCTTGAAGAGACTAATATCCAGTTTTGAACTTAAGTTTTGTAGCAATAAAATGATTTGACTTTTTTAATATCACGCGATATCATTATAAGGCTGATTTATATCAATCTTTGTATAGAAGTTCAGTTGGAAATAAATAACCTTTTCCATAAATAATTTTCAACTAAGTACACATTTCAAACGATCGAACTTAGGAATGAATCATCTATTTTTTTTTCAATCCACTCCACTCCAACATAATCTACATGATTATCCCACTTCAGATTATTATCAATCATTGTGCCAAGGTATTTTATTCAATAACTTTCATGAATGTTAATTTCACTGCCAATTTTGATTATACCTGAATTTGGCTGGGAATTTTGATAGGAAGTAAAAATCATAAATTCGTTTTTTTTTTAAATTGATTGTCAATAATTTATTATCAAACAACTTTTTGAGAGTTGTAAAATCCATCACTAATTTCCTTCTCAATTCTCCCCAATCCTTTGCAGAGTAAAATATCATCTGCAAAAGAATGTACCTATATTACCAATTGAACTCACTTGAAATAAATCATCCGTTCACGATTTAATCACTGCATATCACTAAAAGGTATGATACGTGAATTTGAATCAGAATCATGAGAGGAGTCAAAAAATGTTGTAAAATTCAGAGTGTCCCATGACGTCACTTCCGGAAAAACCGGAAGCTTCACAATAACGAAAATATTTTAGTTGGATTCTCATACATATAGATCGCATAAACTCATGAAGATATACCCTGTACAGCTACTTTAGTTTATAATACAAAAATTTCACTCAGATTTTTACTTACATGTCCATGTACAGTGGCACTCACAAAAACAGCCACTGGATCGGGATGCGGAATATTTAGGTACTGGTTCCACCATCTTGTCATTATAACTGATACATAAAAACCTAGCACAAATGATAAAGGTATTAAATTGGAATAATCGTCACAGTATCTTACTATTGCTTCAAATGTCCTGAAATATAAATAATTAAGTTTTAGACTTCTATGTGGTAGCTCTAAAAAATGTGCTCGGGAATAACTATTTGTCTACTAGTTTCATTATTCATCTTATTGATATTTGTTGAACATTTGTATCTATAGTGAGCTATGAATCCTAACTAACACGTTGACCAGAGACATTATTTGGAAATGACATTGATCATTGGAAATGACTCATCAGACTCATCATACAAGTCATTCTCTTACTTATCAAGAAAAATGCATGGAAGAAAAACCTGTCAGTGTTTTTTTGAATTGACAAAATATATAACTGGTCAACATCATATAAATTGCCAATTTTATATTAACCATGTTTAACTTCTATACCGCACCAACACAAATAAGACCAAGGCATAATTATCACGACATCCTATCAATCAAATTTCAGAACCACACTTATTAAAAACATGTGCAATTTATTCAACAAACACAAAATTAAGCATGTGGTCTTTATCATGTCAATATCAATATTCAAAAAAATATACCTATTGAATTTATTAATTTTGATAGTTAATTCTTTGGTTTCAAATTATCCCTATACTTACATACGACATACATAATATATACCAAATGTGTTACGTTACATTCGTTATGACGGATTATAGATATTGTTCATCTATATTCACATTATATTATAGTTATTAACTTAATTATCGCAAACATGTTAGGAGGATTTCAATGCTCTGTCTGTTTATGTAAATGAAATAAACAAAAATCTGACACTGCCAATCATTATCTTGGAGCCGAAAATATATAATATATAAACGTCAAAGAGCTAACCGGTTAACGTAAAAACTTAGATGACATCCATACTTCAGATTTAAATGAAGACCCCATCAATTATGATCTCAACAGTGAAGCGACGCGGTATACAGGGTGTTTTGAAGTTGTGGTGACAAAAGCATAGGGGAGATCCGTCTTAACAAAATATGAAAAAAAAATCCCGTGAACATGGATCCGAAAATGCGTCGTTTCAGAAATATCAAAGTTGGAAAAATAGTTATTCATTATACAAGGGAAAAAAGTAGTATATTGTCGCTCCAGGTTGTGTTGTCTCCCGACGCGTAGCAGAGGGAGACAAAAAACCGTGAGCTAAAATCTAATATTTTTCCCGTGTATAATACACTATTTTTTTCTGTGAGAGAAGAAAGGACGAATCAATATTGAAAAGATATTGCATTATTTTGAAATCTGAAAATTATCGACGTGAAATTTCAAGTTTTTAACAGTAGGGACACCTGCGTTTTCTTTTGAAGTAATCAAATATCTGATGTCACTTCTGTCAGTCTAATTCTGTGATTTGATTTCAAATAATTGCGAATTTAGTGGTTGTTTAGTAATATACGTAACCGCAAAGTCGAATGGAAGATAAAAGGACTTGCAGTTCTTTCTCGGGACGCTGTTATTGACTCATTTTTTTTTACTGTAGCACAACAAAAGCCATCAACAGTGTATATATATGTGATATACAGGGTAACTCACGGTCCATGGTACGTTAGACGTTTACGGAGAACGGGACATAGCATCATTCTGAAATTTTGGTTACTCACGTAGTTGCTCTTGGTCTATCGATCTAAAATATTTTCAGCTCTGCGGCGTTGCCGCTTCTATCGAAAAGTAACAACAACTTTGTTATTTTAAATGGAACACCCTGTATTTTATTGCATTTTCAGATTCTCCCTGAAAATCTGATTTCATCGATGTATCACACTTGGGGTCTAGCGAAAATGATTACAGAGATATAGGGTGTGAAAAATCGACATTTTTCAACTTTAGGCATTTTTTTTGTCGAAACTATTCATTATTGGTAAAAACGGCTTACATGTCCCTATCTCAACTTTTGATCAACTATCTACTGACATTTAATTGAAACAAATACAGGGTGGTGCAGAATTCAGAATCTTGATCACCCGGTATATGTCCCAATTAAATATCAGTAGATAGTTAATCAAAAGTTGAGATAGGGACATGTAAGCCGTTTTGACCAATAATGAATAGTTTCGACAAAAAAAATTCCTAAAGTTGAAAAATGTCGATTTTTCACACCCTATATCTTTGTAATCATTTCCGCTAGACCCCAAGTGTGATACATCGATGAAATCAGTTCTTCAGAGATAATCTGAAAATGCAATAAAATACAGGGTGTTCCATTTAAAATAACAAAGTTGTTGCTACTTTTCGATAGAAGCGGCAACGCCGCAGAGCTGAAAATATTTTAGATCGATAGACCAAGAGCAACTTCGTGAGTAACCAAACTTTCAGAATGATCCTATGTCCCGTTCTCCATAAACGTCTAAAGTACCATCGACCGTGAGTTACCCTGTATATCCAGGAAAAAAGTAATTTATGAAAAGTGACATTTTATAACCTGCCAACAGGGATGAAATGCCAAACGTTTTTCCCGTCACAGAAAAAAAATAATTTTTTTATTAATAGGTATGAAAAAATATTTTTCGGCAACCGTCCGGGAAATGCTCACTTTCCGGACGCTTTTTCTTTGAGAAAGTTGCATTTTTCCGGCCTAGTCCGGGAAGTATCACATCGTTGTTGTCACTGTAACGATGAAAATCTTGGTAGATATGGTTTTGATAAATGCAGATGATAATTACCATAGCAGTGAAATATCGGCTGACAGCTATTTGACATGAAATTAGTTGACATTTTGATTTTTGAAAGTTTGGTTGCAATTATAGCAATAAACTATCGAAAGCAGCTGCGAGAGTGAGTTTGAAAATGTCCATATGAAATTTCCAATGTAACAGTTAGTAGGTATAGGTATTCTGTTCAAATTTCAGTATTTGATACAAATGAGAATTGATAAAGAAGAAATTGTATTCTACAAAGAAATATAATATGGAAATGTGTCTCATTGATTTGATATTCTACATGGTTGCCGAAAAAATAGTGGAAGCAACACGTCCAAAAACAATTTTTTTGGACTCGCAGACTTCCAGGACTCGTCTACGGCTCGGCCTAGAATCTTGTCTACTCGCCAAAAAAAAAACAGTATTTTCCGAACTTGTTACGTAAATTAGTATTCTCACGTTAAATTTCATAAACGTTAAACATACTCGTTAATACCAGGTCGACGGAAAATTTTATTATTGACCAGTAGTTAAGAAAAACGAATCATCAGGTCGACGGTAGCATTCCTAATGGTGCGTCTAGATCTAGTGGTGAAGAAAATATCGGAAAATATGTAGCATTTTTGCCAATTATTATTATTAATATAATATTCATTTATCATAATATTTAGAGAGAACGAATTTTCAATATAAGGTCGACTCGGTCGAAAATCAATAGCTTTGAACACCTCATATACAGGGTCCGGACGATTTTATTCCAAAGCAAATAAATTTGAGGTAATTGTATCTTGTTTACGCAATGAAAAAATTGATGTCTTGGTTTGTCACTGCCCTTTTCACCTTTTTGCAAATTGATGAAGCGTGTCATAGATGATTTAAGAAGTATAAATGCTGTAGTCATGACGACTGATATTTTGTTTTCTTATTATTATGGGCCAAGCACATTAGAAGTAGAGCAGTTCAATTTTGAGCAGTGATAACCAGCAAAAAATACTGTTTTGGGTGCTGTTTCATGGGATAATGTCAATATGTTATACATGGCTGTGAAGGGAATTTTTGCCCTATTCAATGGTATAGAAAACAAATATGGCGCCCATAAGAAAAAAGAAAGTTGCATTCTGAATTTTCGAAAATTTGGATGATAGACTATTTCTGACAATGTCAACATCTTCGCCATGATTAATTACCTATTAACGCAAAATTTCAAATTTCTACCTCTAATATTAAATCGTCCGGACCCTGTATAGGCGAAAAAATTCGGTCTGAAACACACAGAAATATTTTGAGTTCTAACAATGATAGAATAATGAATCATGAGGTTTTTTCAGAACACAAAAAAAATTCGGATGTGCAGTCCCAAGAATATTTCATTAAGCATGACCATCTTTGTTAGAACCCATATTGATGTGCGTTTGAGATGTAACACCTTGTATACCTTTTGTCTTGGGCATCCAACAGATAACGATAAGTTATGTTCAATCCATAATAAATAAATAAAAACATTATCAGATCTATCCATACTAGCTTGTAAATACTTCCTCTCCACCTGAAAGAAAATATAATATTACATTGAAATTTCAGGAGGTAGAGGTAAAATGTCAAATGATTCCATAATACCAGTAATTTTAATTCTAGAATGACTGATGATTAGAAAAACACACAGGGTGGTTACATTTCTAGTAGTAGTAGAGTATAGGTAGGTACAGGGTGATTCATTATAAATGTCCCCCCCCTCTAGCGCAGTTATTTTTGAACCGTTTTCAAAATTTGAAATATCATCATGATTTTCGATAAAGTTTTTTTTTCGCTACATCAGAAAATACAGAGTGCTCGGAACAAACGATCTACAGGGTACTATTTGATTTTTTTATATGAAACACCCTATTTTTCATTGTATTTTTAGATTCTCCCTGAAGAGCTGATTTGATCAATGCATCACACTTGGGGTCTAGCGGGAATGATTACAGAGGTATAACGTGTTCAAAATCGAGATTTTTCAACTTTCGAATTTTTTTTTAGACGAAACTATTCATTATCGGTCAAAACGGCTTTCATGTCCGTGTCGCAACTTTTGATTTACCATCTACTGATATTTAATAATTGGAACAGATACGGGGTGATCAGAATTCTGAATCTTGAACCACCCTGGAAATGTTCCAATTAAATGTCAGTAGACAGTAAATCAAAAGTTAAGATGGGGACATAGAAGCCGTTTGACCAATAATGAATAGTTTCGACACAAAAAAATCATAAAGTTGAAAAATCTCGATTTTGAACACCCTATAACTCTGTAATCGTTCCCGCTAGACCCCAAGTGTGATACATTGATGGAATCAGCTCTTCAGGAAGAATATAAAAATACAATAAAATACAGGGTGTTCCATTTGAAAAAAATCAAGTAGTACTCTGTAGACCGTTTGTTCCGAGCACCCAGTATTTTTTGATGCAACGGAAAAAAAATCTGAAAAATCATTTTAGATCGGTTCAAAAATAAGTGAGCTAGAGAGGGGGACATTCATGTTGAATCACCCTATACCTCTAGGTACCTACTTGATTTCTCTTCAGACATGTGTTCATTAATAATGGAGGTAATGTCCTGTAAATACACGGAATCAAAAATGGAAGCTTCTATTTTTTTTTATTGTATTTGCATGTGTATTCTCTTTCAGATTAATATCATAAATATGTATCAACTATCCACCACAATTTTTCTGGTAATTTTCTATCTCATCCAGTTCCGAAACGATAAAAAGGAGGAATTTCGACGTGTATTTCCATGACTTTATCCAGTCCAATGGACAATTTACTGATCTTCAAAAAAATCGTTAAACCAGTCCTTGCTAAACTAAAACGAGGTCAAGAAATTCGCCGTTTTCCGGCGCTTACAGCGCTCCCAGCGCTTTGAGGAGGCCGAAAACTTGGTCTTTACAATACTATCACAAAATACGAAGAAAAAAAACGGAACTGAACAGACCTTTTGCATCGAGTTTTGCATCTATCCCCCCCTATGGGTTATGGTTAGTCTGGATTCTCGGCTGGATTATATTTCCAATAATAATTGTAACCTAACAAGTTCAACCTCCCATATAAATACCTTTTTGTATTTATAATGAACTGAAAGTTTATATTCTTACATCATTAGAGACATTTGGACAGTTTTCTTATTCCAAACTAATCAATCGACCTGTATCCAACCAACTTATAGAAGATTCCTTTTTGTTCTGAGGTCAGCAACACCCTTGTAAATTTTCTACATTTATTCAAAAAAATACCCTGTACAGGTGCTTTTTTCATTACTCACAGATAATTTTAATTATCATCATTCTGCCAACTAGATATTATGATACAGAAATTGTTTTATGACTTAGTAAGATTTATGAGATAGAATTTGTTTTACAAATAAAATTTTGTGATTCAACCTCTTTGCTAACTATGAATGAAATTTCATGTATGAAATGTGTGTCAGTTATATATAATTACCTATTTTGTAATTAAAAATTCTTGGTAAAATTGGTAACTAAATAACACAAGTCAATTATTTGAACATATCCTATCATAAAATAACTAGATTCACAATCAAGCCTGCAAATATTTGAAATCGTTAAAAACCTTGAACACTTATATTACTAACTGATGTTTATCTACTGCATAATCTACAACACACTATAATTTCCAGCACTTGACATAATAATTATAATACTTGTAAGTAGATACTGTTTGTAATAAGGACTTCAACTGAAGCAAAGAGAAATACATGCATCCACAAAGACAATATCAATGAACGTTCATTCAAGGTTGCCAAACATCTGGAAAATATGGTGACTGATTGAATGTAACAATTTCTAGGTAATTGATAATATTTCAAGAATACATGAATTTCAAATGAAGTGGATGATGCTATCTTCTTATTAATTGAAATTGATTCATTCTGTAAGGGGAATTACTAGATTTTTCAAATCATGACATGAAAAATTTGGGATTCTTCCAAATAAACAGGGTATTTGCAATGGAAAATAAGCATACGCCACCTATAGCAGTTCTTGGAAGCTGTCAAAGCAGCCTGTTCACTTTGATTTAATTGGTTCACATTTGTTTTGTGTTTTTGTTCCATATTTCACATCAACACTGTCCTTATTCACATATACAGGCTGACTGACAAAAAACGCCCCGATTCGTAGCGCCGCTGTTTATTATCCGATTTTGAAAAACAAGAAAGCAAATGAAATGACTCATGAGATACTACAAGGTGGCACTAACAATTTTTTTTTTCCAATTTCAACCATAACCACCGATTAACAACTTTTTTTTTTCAAATGCCATTGTATATTTTTCAATTTTTTTTCTGATAGAGATTTTTTTTCTGAATACAACGATGTATCACACTTGAGGTCTAGCGGGAAAGATTACAGAGATATAGGGTGTTCAAAATCGAGATTTTTCAACTGTAGGATTTTTTTGTGTCGAAACTATTCATTTTTCGTCAAAACGGCTCACATGTCTCTATCTCAACTTTTGATTTACTATCTACTGACATTAATTGGAACAGATACAGGGTGATCAGAATTCTCTGATTCTTGAACCACCCTGTTTTTGTTCCAACTAAATGTCAGTAGATAGTGAATCAAAAGTTGAGATAGGCACATGCAAGCCGTTTTGACGAAAAATGAATAGTTTCGACACAAAAAAATCCTACAGTTGAAAAATCTCGATTTTGAACACCCTATATCTCTGTAATCTTTCCCGCTAGACCTCAAGTGTTATGCATCATTGTATCCAGAAAAAAAATCTCTACCAGAAAAAAAATTTGAAAATATACAATGCCATTTGAAAAAAAAAAGTTGACAATGGGTGTCGTTATAGTTGAAATTGGATAAAGAAATTGTTAGTGCCACCTTGTTGTATCTCATGAGTCATTTCATTTGCTTTTTTGTTTTTCGAAATCGGATAATAAATAGCGGCGCTACGGATCGGGGCGTTTTTTGTCAGTCAGCCTGTATACAATAATGAATCATGAAATAACTTCAGATAGATATAAAACAAATATCTGATTGCAATGAGGATAGGAAGAAATTCAGAAGATTTTTGATACAAACAAGTAAATAATCAAATCTAGAGTAATCATCTAAGTACTTTATATTTAAGAGAAGGGTAAATGGAAATATTAGATAATGATAAATAATCAATAGATATCAGGTACTCTACTCAGCCTTTTTTATAACCCTCCTACAGGGAAAATCATTTTTATTGAACATCACATAGTTGAACAAAAAGAAAAGGAGACAACTAAGAAATTGATGGAGAAGTTGAAATATATTTTGTTAGTCATTTTTCAATTTTCAACATAAGGTAGGTACTATGATTCACATTAATATCTAGAGTTAATTTCCCATCAAAACCTAGCTTTGAGACAGTGACCAGAAAATTTCCAGATACATATGAAAAAAAGTTTAGTCATTGTTAATATACTATTCTTACTGATTCAATTCTGGATATTAATATATTCCTGGATAATTATTGAACAGTGTAAAATTTTGAAAAAACATCAATTTTTTGGTCTGCTTGGGAAATGATTGCTTGTGACAACAGAACCTAGTAACAAAGGTGTGTCCCAATGCAAATCCCAGCTAGCAAATCTAAATAAATCAAGTCAGAAATTTATATTCATCAAACTTGCATCTCCTATAACTCAAAATGCACTAGACAAATTTATTGATATACAGGCAAGGCTGAATTGTATTGGAAAGTGATTTGAGTGACTTGAAATTGAATTTAGATATTTTCTTTTGTTCACTACCCTATGAATGCAGTTCAATTGTTTTTTTTTTCAAGTGGTTTTGAACTCCAGAAGTAATTTATTGTGCTGTAACAGTTTATAAAAAATATGTTTTCTCCTCAAGAAATGAGGTTTTGTCAGCAACTCAGTCAGCACTGAAATTTGATTGATGTAATCTATGAAACCTTCCAGAATTTTTGTAGATACAGTAGTGGTAGGTACATCGCAAAGCAACATTTTAGCAAATTAAAAATTTCTCTCATGAACTTTCAAAACATCTATAAATGACAAGATGATACTTAAGGATAATACTTATCACAAAATGATGGACCACTTGTATAAGCAAAACTTTCATCAACCTGATTGAGCAGGTAAATTTTGTATTTACCTTATCAATAATTTCAAGAAACAGCCAAACCCTTGAACAGTGGCAACTTCAGCATTATATGTAACAGTCATCCTTTGAATTAATCCCTTCCTAAAAAATCCTAGAACGAATCCTTTTGTCTTGAAGTTGAAGGATAAAGGAAGTATTGAAATTTAATTTACCTTTTTCTCCTGTACCTAGGACCTAGGCCAAATTATTCATAATTTTCGGATGTCTTAGATAATGATTGTAACGTCAACCGGAGATTCTCGTCGTACATCTTTCAGTAGATAATATGAGTTTGCAGAGATATAGGAAATGACTCATCATGTGTGAAATTATCATGCACAATCACCAGTTACAAGAAACAGAACCACAGGATGCGATGATTCGTTAATGAACTTTTACAATTTTTTGAGGTTAAACATAAAACATGAAGTTAGCAATATTCTTCTTCTTGTTTCCTGAATGTTTCAGTTTCAACCTTGGTTACCTAGCCATATAAGCTATTCAGCTAATTCTTCTTCCCCTCCATCAATGTTTGATTTGGAAATTTCATAAAACTAAAATTTTCCAGAAAAACCGCTGATTGAAATTTGATAGATATCTCAAGTGGATTACTATAATCCGTAATCTATAATCAATAGAAATACATTGAGTAGATGGAGATTGGCATAATCATATAATTTATAATATATGGTAAAGAGTTCAGAATTTAAAGATCACCAAAATTTATTCCTTGTTCGGGTGGTCAATATTTATATTTATATTTAGAGAATAAAAATACAGGCGGGTGTTGAAATTGAAATTCATTTTTGAAAATTACACTCGTTTGAAAACGGTTGATCAAATTCAAAATTTGTAAGTTTAACAGCTGAGTGTTCAAATTTGAGAAATTGTAATTCGGTAGGAAATACTATACAGGGTGTCCCGAAATTAGCCTGCCAAACTTCACCAGCGGCTTTTACGACCAAAACTAGAAAGGAAACTTTCAATGAACATGAGTCGAGAAATGTCTCCTAAGGGAGCTACGGCCCCCTGAAAGGGGGATCCTGAAGATGATATTTCTTGAGTATTTCCGAAACTTTATGCGATGAAAAGATACGCAATTTGGTACAAGAACTTAACTTTTCATGCTCAATGCAGTGAAAATTAAATCATTTCAAAATTTCAATCAGGAGTGTATAATACGTACAAGGTGGAACTACCTAAAATATTGCTCTAAATTTGTTGTAAAAAAGGTACTCTTGTTCCGTGACGATCAGATGTGTTATTATCGAGTAAAAGCAAATTAAAAATATTGTTAAATCTCCGATATTATGCATAACATTGCAATGAGGCGTAGTGAAAATGGATAAATATGCACAAAAATTGAAGTAGTTTTTTCATCAATTTGTTTTTATTTTTCGCGCTTTTATAATATTGTTTGGGGAAAATGAAGTACTTTATTTTTTTATAGCCACTATATATGATTTGGCAATGTTATGCATAAGATGTAATAAGTGCATCAATATTTTTAAATCGATTTCACTCGAAAATGATACATCTGATCGATGAGGAACAAGAGGACATATTTTCGTGAAAACGGTGTGGATTTTTATAATCCGAGATTGAATTGTCAAAAAATATGCATACGAAAAAGTTTGAGCAATATTTAATGTAGTCCCACCCTGTATTATACACTCCTGAATGAAACTTCGAGATGATTTCATGTTCACCGCATTGGGCATGGTAAGTTTAGTTCTTGCACCAGATTGTATCATTTTATCATATGGCGTTTCGGAAATATTCAAGAAATATCATCTCCAGGAGCTCCAATCAGAGGGGGGCGTAGCTTCCTCAGGGGACAAGCCGCTGGTGGAGTTTGGCAGGTTAATTTTGGGACACCCTGTATATATCCACGAACCGCGCGGTGACCTGGTGTCGGCGGGTTTGAAGTTACTTACTTTGATTGGAGTGTGCTGTGCACGTGCGGATCGAGATCTTGGATCGAGATGACTTTGGACAGCTTTGGATGAACAATGATGGAAGTAAGATAATTATGGTGTGATTACTGATGCGCTTTTGTTTCAGAAATTCCACTCGACCTCTCGAGAACAGCGAGAGCAATATGGTTCCGTCGATCTTCTAATAGATGGCGACATTGCACAATCATGACATCTGTCAGTTTTGAAATTGTCGCAGATTTTTCGAATTCAGATTGAATAATCCCACTGTTACATAAATTCCGCGTACCTGAAATGCCATTTGCATCTAGCGGGAAAATGTAGAATCAACGTCTCGTTCGTTGTAACGTAGAGAAATCATAGTAGGCGGTCGAGTGATTTTTCAGAAATTTTCAATACGTAATAATGGCCGAATACGCGCACCACATCTTACTTCCATCATTGAATAAACTATATACTTTTATTACTTCAGGGTTTCCCGAAATTACATAAAACAATGGAAAAGTTTTTAGGTTTGTAAGGTCAACCGATGTTTTGAGGAAACCCTAATCCGATTATCTACGATTCCCAGCTCAAAAATTGAGAAGCCAGACACCGACACAGGCCTCACCGTGGCAATATAGTCTCGCTGAGGAATCCGCGATCCAATGCCCATATGTGAGTATAGGCCACCCCAGACGGCCGAGCAGCCGATTCTGGGCAGGGCATATGGATTTGGACAGTGAACACAAAGCCCGATGAGGCTACATTCTGAAAATGGTTTCATTTTTCTTGTTTCCTTATCATAACGATAATATCCAAAAAATAAAATGAAAAATAAAAATGCTGATAATATATGGTGTTATACCTATACCTATTAGAAATTGTTTGTAGAATCACAAGAGAGTATATAGCTCCACCAGAGCAAGCATTTTTAAATTTCGTCCCTTCTCCTATATATAATATACAATATACCAGGGATATTCTTTGAGAATACCTATGAAAATTTTATGAATGACATTGTGTTATGTTTTTATTTTATTTCATTTATTCACCTATGTTAATATATTTTACACACGTCAAGTTATAATACATAATTCAATTACTGCTAAAAAAGCTAAACTGAACGGTACCTGCCTATATCCTACCTAAAAGTTATGTTAAAACTCGATTTTTATCAGAAGTTATAGTTTAAAAATCCATCGAATGAATAATAAAACTTGCGTTGATTTAGTAAACCTTTTATTTCCTTCTTGAAATTTTCAAATACTAAGTTTATCACATTGATAGGAATTTTACAAAAATTCCTATATTATAAACTGTTACATTCATGCATTCATTATTCATCAAGTCAATTTCAAAGACTTCCTATAATTTTTTTCTTGGTCTTCAATTTTCAAGTCTGGAATATTTCGATATTGTAGGCGATATCGTTTAGGCCATGGACGTATAAACAACGTTATACCGGGTAATTCAATAAACTCGAGGGCCACATTTGGATCTCTGGAACTATAGGAGATACGAAGATGGTTGAATTAGGGGAAAGTTGCCCATTAATGTGACTAAAAATATGCCGTCGAGAAAATTCCGAGTATTTCCGGAGATTGACGAGAAAAAAACATATAGGTAATTCATTTTAATTTTTTTTACGTTATTTTCTGAAGAATATCGAAATTGAAAGCACATTCACATAGCCACTTTTTTCCTGCTATTCGATAACATTTTCAGATTCATCATGCTAATATAATTCTTAATGAAAATGCAAGTTGGCGTCCATATAAAAAAATAAAGTTGGTGAAAATGTCATATCGTATAGCAGAGAAAAAGTGGCAATATAAAATATGCGCTATCAATCTCGATATTTTTCAAAAAATAACGCCAGAAAAAATAAAAATGACCAACCTAAAATTCTGTTTTTTCTATTTCTCCGGAAATAATCGGAATTTTGGAATTTCCTCGATGGCATATTTCAAGTCACGTAAATGTTCAACTTTGCCAATAATTTAACCATCTCGATCGTATCTCCTTATTTCCGAGATCCTATAATGGTGGCCCTCAAATTTGAATCACCTGGTATATGCATATACCTCAGTATTTCTACCAAGAGGTATTTCAACTTTGACAGCTATATATATTATGTTCGATGGTATAGATGGAATTATATAGGTTACCTGGATTACCAGATAACATAATAACCTATTTTGTCAATCGAGTGTTGAATTTTAAAACAGTTTTCATAATATTGACTCATGTTGGAACCTAACATATGTCCATATTATGAACAGACCTATCAATGTGAAATTACCATGATGGATATCACAAAGCTTTTTACGGTCGTTATATTTTCACTAATATGGATAATTTGCGAAAGTGATGAAACAAAATCTGGAATCGATGATGGATCATTCCTGACGAGTTTCTTTTTGGATATAAATGCTACTATAATAATCAGAACTTGTCGAAATACTAGTAAGTGTTTATCAATTATACAGTGAATATTTTTATAAAGATTTTTTTATTTATTGTTGCTCCAATGGTACCTAGTTCAAGTGCTACATCTTTCAAAATGGCAGCTGGACGCCATTTTCTAATATTTTTTAAATAAAATGGACGGTCGAGTTATACATCATATAAAACCTCTTGCAATTCTATAAGACGTACTGCAGAATTTCAGAAAAAATATTAATCCAAAATCAAACCAGGCTCATATTTTCACTATTATATTAATTCTCTTCTAAGGTATGTAAGTCAGTGTGTGTATTGCAATTCTTTTTCTCTTGTATCAACCTATCTTCTGTGAGAATATCCAGGTGAAGAATTGATAGGTTTCAATTCGTTGATGTGCTTCTAATCATATTTTCCCTATTGCTTTCCTTCTACGCTATGTAAGTCACCATTCTTCATCTTCGAAATGAAGAAAACTGCATCCGAATATGTGCTGTTTTCGAAAAATCATTCAATGTTAAATTAGTGCAAGAATGTGTTTAATTGATATACGGCTTGAACTTAATTATAGGTTACCTGAAAACATTTCTTAAAGAAATGGTGGCATCGGAAAAATCGAAACAAATAGAGATCCACCGAAACTCATCACCAGAATATTTAGACCGATTCTTCCATTGTTTTTCAATTAACAATTGGTATATTATTGATATCATCAACTGTGGAAGTACTGATTCTGAACCTGAATCTATTTTGAAATATGTAAGTCAATATCTAGAAAATATTTTGAATCTTGGAGATACCTATATACTCGACCTGTTTTAGATGAATCACACACGTTTATTCAATTATCCTTTGAAGCATTTATTTCTCATTGATGGCTATGACTATCCAAGTTTTATGAATAAATCTGCAAAGTACGAAATACTACCCATGAGTGAGCTCTTCATTGCATCATTTCACCAAAACAATTCATCTGTGGATATTTATCAACCATATAAAATAGGAAGAAAAGGAGAACTCTGTGAGTATAATATGGATATCAACAAGTAGGTATTGTTAATTGAATATAAATACACTCACTAGCAAAAAAAACCGCCCACCAAATAAATTGACCAAATTGATCGCCCTGAAACTTTTTGAACTCTTATTCGATTTTGGTGAAATCCCGATCAAATCGTGAATTTATCGAAAAGGAATATTCTCAGATATAATCATGAACATAAAAAAATGGATATATACAGGGTGGCCCATCGAAAACGTACCGCAAGGCATTACAGGCTGGGAAAGAACTTTTCGATAAAATCTGAAAAAAGGTCAAGTTTGTTTGTCAGGGGGGCACATTTTGACGTAACAAGCATAGTAAAACTTCAACCCCCTAAGTTGGGGTGTCACCCCAACATTTTTTTCACTATACAGTCCTGCTTAGATTTTTCGAATCGATCTACTCTTTTAGAAAATATGGAGCGTTGAAACTCCAACCATCATGTGGGACGAAAAATACAAAAATCGGTTCAATTGTACTTTATTGCAATAAATTTCTTCAAATGAATTAGCTGTTTTTGCCGATTCGCTGTTTTTGCCGATGCACAGATTTGTTTAGGTTCATTTTTGAGAGTAAAAAATGAATAAGATTAATTTCTTCACGTTTGAATTAGAGGTCAAGTAGTTGCTAGCTGTCGTGGTTGAAGTGTTTACGAATTGTTGACTTTGAAATTTAATATTATGGTGTATTCAGTTGGAAATCATTGAGCTTTTTTTCAAAAACGATGAATGTGGAAATCGGGTCGCGGAGTTGTTCAACCAACGGCATCCTGACAAACATGCCTCTGGGAAAATTGTTCGCGAATTGGTGAAGGAATTTCGCGAAACAGGTTCAGTTCATAACAAAAAGAGAGAGCTTGAGAATCCAGTACTTACTGAATGAACCTACGGAGATAGGGCAAGTTGCAGTTGATAGTACGCCTAGTACAAGACAATTGGCCATTGCGACGGGTGTGTCTCGTACCAGTCAGTGTCCAACGGGTATTGAAAAAATACAAAATTCGCTTAGTGCACGAACTGAATGAAGACGACTTTGATCGTCGCTTGCAATTTTGCGAAATTATGAGTGAGCCAGCGTTACACAATATTAATTTTCTATTCAATGTGCGTTTTTCGGACGAGTGTTCCTTCTTCCTCAATGGTTTAGTGAATCGCCACAATTGCTGCCGGTACTGGGCTGACACCAATCCAAGGATTTTCCACGAAACACACGCACCACCCCCAGAAGTTAAATGTGCGGGCTGGTATTTTTGGAAATTCCATCGTAGGACCTTTTTTCCTTCCTGGAAATTCAACAGGCGATATGTACTTGGATTTACTACAAAATGCCATCGACCTAGCTCTAACAAATATAATTGAGAACGATCCCGCATACCATGAACAGGAACTGATTTTCCAACAAGACGGAGCTCCCCCTCATTATTCCCAAAATGTGCGCAATTATTTACATAACACATTTCCAGGACGATGGATAGGACGACGGGGCTAAATAGATTGGCCACCTCGGTCACCCGACTTAAGTCCTTCAGATTTTTTTGTGGGGACACATCGAAAGCCTTGTTTAAAAAACACCACCAGATACATTAGAACAAATGCGACAAAGAATCATTAACGTATGTCGCGAAGTGACACCCCAAATGCTCCAGAATGTACGACAACGGTTTGAAAATAACTCATACCACTGTATGCAGGTTGAAGGACAGCAATTCGAACATTCACTTGACTAATAAATGACTTCTGAAGTACAATTGAACCGATTTTTGTATTTTTCGTCCCACATGATGGTTAGAGTTTCAACGCTCCATATTTTCTGAAATAGTAGATCGATTTGAAAAATCTAAGCAGCAATGTATAGGGAATGACAAACACCTTCTAAAGAGGTACCGCTTGACCACTCTTCCCATATGAAAAAAAATTTGGGGTGAAAATTTTGGGGTTGAAGGTTTTACTATGCTTGTTACGTCAAATTGTGTCCCCCTGACAAACAAACTTGACCTGTTTTCGGATTTTATCGAAAAGTTCTTTCCCAGCCTGTAATGCCTTGCGGTACGTTTTCGATGGGCCACCCTGTATATATAAAGAAATACATTGAGAATTCGCATTCTCTATGTGATGAAAATATCAATTCTTTCTCGGTTTATTCAACAGAAAACAACTACTTTCCTGGTTATATGCCACGATGAACATTGAATTTTATCTATTGAACACACACGATGAGAATTTGAAAACTAAATCTTCTGAAGTATAGAGAATTGGCATTCTCCTTCATATAGGGATATGCACATAATATCATTCTGAATATCAACAGAAAACAATTACTTTCCTGGCTATTTGCCACGTCGAACAGAGAGAAAAGAGATCATGAAAAAATGAAAATCATCTGAAATTGAGAATTGACATTATCTCTTATAGCCGTAGAAAAATTATAGTGTATAACATGCACGGAACGCTAATTTCCTACTCGAATGATTGCAGCATTCGCCTATCGCTCATGCTGCAAACTTCATTGTCGTAGGAAATCACTATCATTCTGTGCTCGTTAAACAATATACTATTTATTGCATTCGAAGTTTTCTTATGGTCAATGGGTGTGATGGCGCAATATCAGAGCTTTCCCTCTCTATCAAGACAGTGGATATATCAAGAAATGCCAATTGTAACTATAATTCAGAACCGCCAATTTCATTTTACTATACCTTCGATAAATAAGTTATAGGGGTGAGCCATCTTGGAAAATCGGGGTACCTATGTTTTTTGTTTCAATTCACTTGTTTTCCATGCAGTTATAGAACACTTTGGTAAATGGACACCTGATGAAGGGATGACACAGTTTTACAAAAACATTCCTACTTCCGTTAGGCGGAAAAATTTCCAACAATCTGAAATTATCGTCAGTGTCGTGGTGAAGAATCCAAAAAGTTTGGATGTTAAAAATTTTGATGACTTTTCGTGAGTGAATTATACAAACTCTGTTATGGAAAATTTATTTTGAAGGATTTTTTTTTTCTAGGGAAGTTGATGAGAATGAACCATACTTTTTCCAAGATTTCCCGAATGTTCATAGTTTATTTCAACACTTGAATGCATCTTTTTCCTTCAGAATATTTGATTCTTACGGATATCTTAATCATTCAACTGGCAGATTTGATGGAATGGTTGCGGATTTGTATGAAGAGAAAGGAGATATTTCAGGTGATTTCATAACCTTCTTTCATTAACGAATTAATTTTACCTACAGGATATATTTTTCAGGAACAGCGTTATTTTTATCTGAAGACCGCCAAAAAATTGTCGATTTCATAAAAACCTTCAATTCATGGGGTACTAAATTCGTTTTGAAAAAACCCTCCTTGTCATACATCGAAAACATTTATTTTATGACATTTGCGAAACAAGTTTGGATTGCGTCTTTGGTTATTCTATTTCTGTTTGGCGCTGTTTTATATATCTTGCTGAATTGGGAGATGAAAAACAAACGTGTTAGTTAATTTTTGCAATTAGTTAATCTGGAAAATGAACCGGAGACTCTATTTTTCAGAACAGAAAAACGACAAATAAATATTCACTAGGTGATATAACTTTGATATCATTTGAAGCTGTTTGCCAACAAGGTGAGTGAAACTGAAAGCAAACGTGAAGCACAAAACTTCATCATTTAATATGTAATTTATCTTTGACGGATGTTTATACAGGGTGATTCCCAACTCATAAGCATACATTTGGGAAATGATAGCTCATGATAAATTATGACTAATATAATGAAAAGAAATTTCATACGAAATTAATATTATACTTTCAGAAATAATTGGGAGAAATACAAAAAATGAATTACAGATTCAACATTTGAAATGCATCATAAATTATCATTGCAACTGTTAGATTCCACCATTTTCAATTACCAGAGACATATTTATTGAATAAATAACTTCAGACTGTATCATTCTGATTTTGAAGAAATAATAGATCGAAGTATCTCGTGATTCATTGAAAATTCGTGACCTTTTTGATCGATCTCTCCAACAGAATGTTAACAACCCAAACAGCACTGGATTTTCATAGAATATTCTCTAAATATGCTAAAAAGGAGGAGTATATTCCGAATATTCATCGATTATTCCTAGAATATATACATGCCTCTGGAACATCTAAAAGGAATATTCCAAAGTGAATAGTCGGACATGTTCAGGGAATATTCAGGTATGAATCTTCCAGGAATATTCCCAACTGAATATTCTCTGATGTATATTCATGGAATATACCCAACTGAATATTCTGTGCGGTATATTCATGAAATATACCCAACTGAATATTCTGTGCGGTATATTCATGAAATATCCTCAACTGAATATTCTGTGGTGTATATTCATGAAATATTCCATGAATATTCCTATGTTTCTCGACACATAAATACCATTTATTATTTCAGAGATTTGAGTATCGAACATCAATTAGATGTAAGGGGATTTTGAAATAAAAAGTGTTCATGATCCGATTTTGAACAATGCTCTCACAAGAACTTGATATGTATAACATTATTCAATTCGATTGAGGTCACGAGTTCGATCCCTGCTTGGGTCACTTTTTTTTATTTTAGAATATGTTGATTGGAATATTCCAGGAACATTCAACATAGAATATTCTTTTGGGTATATTCTATGATTATCTGAGGAATTCCCATTCGCATATTTAAAGAATATTCCACAGATATTCCGGAATATTCCAGATTATTTCTAGAATATTCCAATATTCCAAAAGGAATATGATAGGGAGATTCATGGAATATCTGGTGCTGTCTGGGAAAAGACATAATAAATAAGAAGTGACCCCCTTGAAGATTTTTTTTCACAGATATCAACCTCAAACACAATTTTATAATCAAAGAGGAACTACTTGATAGATAAAATAAATATTTTTCCTGACTTTATTCAAGGCTAATTTCCATACGACTGACAAAAGGTCCTTCAAATTTTCCGAAATATTTCGGCAACCAAAATACTTTTACTAAACATTTTTTGCATCATCAGTCATTACCCAATTTTAACTTGATTTATAATTTCACAAGTTAATGCGCATAGGTTGAGAATCATAATGTACCTACATGAAATTTCAGGGACTTTCACAGATTCGAAAACTTATGCTGGAAGAATATTATTATTCATTATGTTTTCTGCATTCATGTTTTTGTACGTTGCATATTCGGCATATATTCTTGTTCTTCTGCAGTCCACTAAACCAATAAAATCAGTACGAAGATTGGTAGATAGTCGAGTAGAGTGTGGAGGTCTAAACATCAGCTTCATGATGGCATATTACACGGTAAAGATAATAAACAGGATCTGTTACAAGTTTGTTCTTTCTGTGTTTCTCAACTTTCTTGTTTCTATAAATAAACAAATGGAATTCGATGTGTGATGAAGTTATAAATATGCATTATTTGACGTATACAATTGTTTTCTGTCACTTCCGGTTTAACCGAAAATGACCTATATTTACTCATTTTAAATGGGACACCTGGTATAATTTCACTCATTTCGATAGAGAATAACATTGCGAGTACAATGATACCCCATTGGCCACTTGTTGACATATTTGTCATCCTAGAGTGATTATGAAACTGCATATTGATTCAAATAAATATCGATTGTGTGTTATCAACGTGTTCGTTACAGAATACCATTTTCAGATAATTATGGTAATGAGCCAGCTTTGCTCTATTTGAAAAAAATGTAGTTAACATAATAATTACGATATTGTAAATTTTGAATGGACCTGTGAAATAAATGAAAAGTAAAACTTTATCGAAACTATTTTTCTAGATTGAAAATTGATAATGTCAGGATGATAAATGTCAAATAGTGGAAAAGGGGGTGTCATTGTACCGGGTGATTCAATAAGGGTGACGAGGTACTGTATCTCAGGAACTAATAGTCGTAGAAGTTTGGGAAAAAAATTCTTTCGAGGAAATCGACCAAGAAAAACTGCTGGAAATATTTTTGAATCCATACGTCCACCGCTAGGGGGCGTAATAGCTTCGATCGTATGAAAAATGTAATTTTCTAGAATTTTTTCCAATATAAGTTTAGAAATGAATACTCTCACGTCAATGTCATCCTAATGGTCCATCTTTTTGTTGAATAGATTTTCATTGTAGGACGTAAAATGAAGGCGGGAGGGAATGCTAAACTTTTTGGACTGTAAATGTCTATAACTTTAGTTTGACGTATCGGAAATTTGCTAACAAGGTTTTGTTCGTGAAAGGAAGGCTTGGTGAACAAATTAAAAAACCATCTATGCCATTCTGGTTATCATCGCGCTCGTTAGGGGGCGTGTTTTATAAATTTAACCGTTTTTTCAATTTTGCTCCGAAATCTTAAATGGAACCGTATGATTTTTTTATTAGATTCCGAAAGTAGATAAAATTTGCAACACAACATGTCCAAACCGCATGGCGATATCTTCATTTGTTTAAAAGTTATGGCTCAAAGAATAGTTCATTGACGAATTTATTGATGAAACAAAAGAGGTAATTGAGTTTTTGATTTTTTTTTCAAATTTCGTAGTCAAAGCATGCCATGGACAAATACAAATACAAACAAGAAAACAACAATTACAATATTTACATTATTGAACAAACTCTACTATCAAAAAAATTCAAAGTTTCAAATGTTCAAAATGTCCACCGTTATTGGCCACGCATAATTCAAGTCTTTCAGTTGTGGATGACACACTAGCTTCAATTTCGGCCGCGGAAATGTTTCTAATGGCTTCCCGAATTCTGTCTTTCATATCATCAACTGTTGTTGGACGGTCTTCATAAACTAGGTCTTTAAGCCTAGCCCATAAATAAAAATCCAGGACAGTAAGGTCGGGAGACCTCGCCGGCCAAGAGAAAATGCTGTTCCGACCTATCCATTTATCCGGAAACTGCATATTTAAAAAATTCTGAACATTTCGAGCATAATGGGCTGGGCATCCATTTTGTTGAAACCAAAATCCCGCACCACACATTCACGCTCCATCGATTTTGAAATTGAACTTTCCTTAACCATTGTGGATTTGTTTCGGACCAATAGTGCATGTTATGAGTATTAACTTTCCCTGAACTGCAAATAGTGGCCTCGTCAGTCCATAATATTTGAGATAGAAAAGTTCTGTTTTCGTTCACCATCCCCAACAGCCAATAACAAAAGTCCAGTCGATGGTCGAAATCGGCTAGTTTTAATTCTTGATGTAAATTCACATGGTACGGATGTAATTTATTGTCTCTTAATATACGTTGAACTGAGGCATATGTCAATTCGAGATCTCTCACCAAATCTCTTATGCTTCAATGAGGGTCGGCAGTAATATAAGCTAACACATTTATAATATTGACTTAATTTCTTGTTCTCCGTACTCTATTTGGGGATGCGACTGCCTGGACATGTCCGGTTTCCTTCAATCGTTTAGCTAATCTTTTGAAAAAATTTCTTGAATGATGACGTCGTGCAGGATATCTAAATGCGTATTCTCTTTCGGTTATAGCGGCATGTTGAAGACATTCAAAATAGACTGCTAACATATCAAAAGCTTCCTCGTTCGTATACGGCATTTTTTGAACTTTAAATTAGGTTCTTTAAAAATTCGAATGTCAAATAATAAACTGTCTATTTGTGTTAGATGTATGATAAATGTCAGTTTGTCATACATCTAAAACAATTGCCACCCACATGACTGGAGATAAGTCAACAAATTTTCATTCTCAGATAGATGTCAGTTCCACTATAGTTTTAGTTATATTATTATAGAAATGTGAAAATTGTGTATTAAATGAAGAATGGCTGAAGGAATGACTGGACTTCAGGTTACTGAGGAGAGTTTGAAACTCGAAATGAATTTTATTCGAATCAAAATCATCTAACCTATGTGAAAGAGATGTGCATATATCCCAAACATCATGGATACGGATGATTTTTGATAAATTCACGACTCAACAAGAACAGAGTATGTATACTAGTATATTTCTCCCATACATTCCAATTTTCATACCAATTTGGTAAGTAATATATTTTTATATCGTTATATTCATCATAGTATTCATCCGATTCTGGAAGAGAATGTCAATTCTCAATTTCAGACGATATTCATTTTATGCTCAAATTCCTATCGTGTATGTTCAATTGATATAATTCAATGTTCGTCGTGGCATATAGCCAGGAAAGTAGTTGTTTTCTGTTGAATATGCCGAGAAAGAATTAATAATTTCATCACATAGAGAATGCGAATTCTCAATGTATTTATTCAAATGTATCCATTTTTTCATGTTTATAATATATCTGAGAATATTCCTTTTCAATACTGTCTATTTGTGGAAAATCGGCGTTTCCATAGAAACTGTCTACCAAGTGTTTTCACGGCTTACCTACGGCATACCTACGCTACTAACTAATAGTAAAGTTTTTAAATGACATTTTTTTTTTTCGTTTTTTTTATTTATTCATGGCATGCTTGTCTACGCATATTACAAAAAAAAATTGAAAACTCAATAAAATATTTTGTTTCATCAATAAACTCGTCAATGAACTATTCTTTGAGCCATAACTTTTAAACAAATGAAGATATCGCCATGCGGTTTGGACATGTTGTGTTGCAAATTTTATCTACTTTCGGAATCTAATAAAAAAATCATACGGTTCCATTTAAGATTTCGGAGCAAAATTGAAAAAACGGTTAAATTTATAAAACACGCCCCCTAACGAGCGCGATGATAACCAGAATGGCTTAGATGGTTTTTTAATTTGTTCACCAAGCCTTCCTTTCACGAACAAAACCTTGTTAGCAAATTTCCGATACGTCAAACTAAAGTTATAGACATTTACAGTCCAAAAAGTTTAGCATTCCCTCCCGCCTTCATTTTACGTCCTACAATGAAAATCTATTCAACAAAAAGATGGACCATTAGGATGACATTGACGTGAGAGTATTCATTTCTAAACTTATATTGGAAAAAATTCGAAAAAATTACATTTTTCATACGATCGAAGCTATTACGCCCCCTAGCGGTGGACGTATGGATTCAAAAAATATTTCCAGCAGTTTTTCTTGGTCGATTTCCTCGAAAGAATTTTTTTCCCAAACTTCTACGACTATTTGTTCCTGAGATACAGTACCTCGTCACCCTTATTGAATCACCCGGTACTAACGAAATGATTAAAAATTTACCAGATGTTCCATTTAAAAGAACAAAATATTAGTCATTTCCGGTCGAACCGGCAGTGACAGAACGCAATTGAATGAGTCGAATAATGCATATCATATACTATAATTACATAGCAAATTTTTGACTTTTGACAAACACCCGGCATACTTTTAAACTAATTCATAACTGAAAATTACCCTTCCAAAGAGTTTTCATTTCAGGCTACCAAAGATGATGCTTTGAGAGACCTTTACAGTAAGAAAATATTTCCCAATCAATTTTTCACCTTGGAAGAAGGTCTGAAAAAAGTGCAAGATGGAAATTTCGCATTTCAGGTTATGCTTGGCCCAGCTTACAACTACATTTTGAAGAAGTATACTAATCAGGACATCTGCAAATTACAAGAATTACCTGGCTACATGAACGTTAGTATTTTCTGGTTTTGCTAGGAAAATTTAAAAATGAAATTATGATATATGAATAGCAATATTGACCTATTGAAATGAACTGCTTGACAAATAAAATGGATTCAATATCGAAAAATATTCTGTTAACTTGTCATCAGAAGACCAAATAGTTATCAACATTACAAGGCAGATGAATGAAGCAAATAACAACTCAATTCAATTCAAAATTTCTTCAATTCCTTTCAGATCAAGACATATCCATATAAACGGTTTAAACAGATATGTACGATATAGGATGTGTCAGGAAATGTAAAAAACAATGTTTTATTAATAGATAATAAACGACACTGAATAAAATAAAATATTAAGATATAAAATTACAATTGAAATCGAAATTTCTTGTAGCGTCCACACTAAAACAATCTCATCTCGATTATAGTTTTGGTTTACTTGAAAAATACTGATTCACTAGTAATAAACTTTGAAACAGAAAGTTCTTCAATTCTATCTTGAACCTGTTTATGCTTGAGATGTCCTTAATTTCTGATGGTAAATTATTGAATATTTTGATCGACATTGCAAGACCTACTTTTCGTAATCCTGTTGAGATTACATATTGTTTTCAAGGAAAGAACAAACCACATAACGTAATTCTACAGAAAAAATCCAACATCGCATGTTGTTATGGCAAAGTTAACGAACAATCTTAACAGACGGAGGCTGTTAACAATAACTTGTCAATTGTCATCTGAATAACTTCAAATCAAAATAACAATATGGGATCACGAAAAATTTAGCAAGTATTCAAATTTCAAATCACAATATTCATGACGGAATTTTACGATTCTTTGGTATCTCGAATCACCCTGTGGATATTCGCTCAATATCACATACATTAAATTGATGACTTCCTCCCCGTATCGATAGATTTTATGAATAAACACTGTCATTGCATGGACAAATCAGCTGAAATTAAGGACATTCCAAAAACTTTCCATAAAAAAAGTGGACCACACTTCATTTGTTCATTCAGCAGTTTAGTAGAAATTGATAATTTATGGGCATTAGACCAATCTTCAAAAGGTTATTAGGCATCTAAAAAATTATAACTAAAAACAGATGCCTCCCTAGGTTCAGGGCGTTCAAGTCCTTGATATCAATGTTAAAATATTCAGTGAAATAATAGGATTTCCGTAGAAAAAGGAGAACCTGTATTGATATCGTTTTTATTTTAGACTGAAATGTACATTGCTGTTCCTAAAACTTCACAGTACAAAAAGTTCTTCAAAATTGGGTGAGTAATTATTTACAATTTGATTTGAAACGTATTTCTCATCAACATAACAAAATATTGCACATTCTTAATAAAACTTTTTTTCTAGACTGATGCGAGTAGATGAAAGTGGGTTGCAAATTAGAACAAAAAATCGGGTTTCCATGAAACCGAAATGCTACAATGAAGCGGGTAACTTCCAGTCAGTGAGGTTTTACGATTGCTATTCAGTATTCATTTTATATCTTTCTGGAATATTTGTCTCAATATGCATTTTGTTAATAGAGAAAGTTGTGAACAAGTATAAGAATGATAAGGATTCTCCAATGAAATAGCCAGTACTGATAGTATGAGAATGGTTGAATGTTTATGCTAAAAACTAGATGAAACTGGACAACATTTCTGTAGGATTCAAATAGTTTTGTATACACCAAGGTAGTAAAGAATATCTATATTACGAGTGGTAATATTCTTTACTACCAATTTCACCACTAGCGATATATTTCAATCATTATAGTTCTGTCGTTGAACTGAAATATAGACCTATTTCTCACTATGAAAGCACTTCTTTTCAATTATAATTAAAATCTAGTAGCCATCACCATATGACAGCATATTATATCATCACATTCACAAGTCATTATTGATAAATACCTTCTTGATTCCGAATTTCGCATCGGAACAGTGAATTCGGGTTGATTATCTTATTATAACAGAGGTGGCTATGTCTTTATTGACTAGTAGTTCATAAAATGACTAAAATTACACACTTTATTCCTTGAAAAGGAGTAAATATAATGGTAGGTTCTATAGTTAGTAGTGGAAAAAAATATTATGTTAGATTGTGAGCAAAATAATACTTACTTCGAAATATATTGCATTTGCACTGAAGAAGTCGTTCATTATTATCAATTTGGTTTTTTATAGGGAATTTATTTAAGCAAAAAAAAACATTATTATTATTATTATATGCCGAATTGTAGTTCCAATTCAAACCATCTCTCTTTTTATGATAACTTCTGGTTAGCAATTATTATAATTAAAAACGTAGGAACAATAAATAAGAGTTCAAATATCAAATTTCATTGCATGTCTTCTCTTATGACGAGTTTTTGGCAAGAGAATAAAACATACAGGGTGTTTCAGATTTGAATGTACATACGATACCTGTAGATAGAGGACACTGTGATGGTTCCCTCTGATGTGTCTACCGTCCTTTATAACTGAGATACAGGACGTTATCTTGATTTTGGCAAAATCATCATCTGTCCATAGCTTTTGAACCACTTTGTATAATCTATCCATACTTGATAAAAGTATATATGTCACTTTATATTACCCATCAAAACTAAATGAAAATCGGGATCAGAATCCAGGTCCGCCTTGAAGAAAAACAGAAAACTTTTATATCAAAAACACTCTGTACGTATGGCAAAATTTTGTAGATTTGTTTCGATATTTGAAAAGAGCAGAGGAAAACGAATGAAATGACCTACTTTTTACGACCGCGCATCCGATTCGACAGATGTTTTATTATTATTTTCTGATATACTCGACTCCATTTTGAGTCATTTTTATTGAACTCGTAATTCAAAATCCAATTATTTCACAAAATAGTAACAGTCTTCAAACATCATTGGAGTAAAATAGATAGATCTGTTCATTCGATATAGAATAACGTCTGTTGTTTTGGAAATTTTTGAGGGCTCGTTTTATTCTTCACTATTGATTCATGAGCTGCGGTAAAGCAGGCTGTGCAAAAAAATCTTATATTCTGACAGTTTATAATCACTAGTTTGATATTGTTGGTACTTGTTTATTGGGTTGTTACATTTCAAAGTGTTATAAACTATGCCTCGACACAATAAACTTAATGTTACCAATAATATCACACTGGTGATCATGATCTGTCAGAATTTTAAATTTTTTTGCACAACCTAGTTCCCGCAGCTTATGAAAATATAGTGAAATATAAAATAAGTCCTCGAAAATATTTAAAATCATTGACAAGCTATTCTGTCAAACGAACAAATCAATCAATAGTTCACCTGAATTGATGAGTCTAATGAAGTTTGACTCTGAAGACAATAATTTTTTTGTATCAAAATTGGATTTTGAATTACAGTTCAATAAAAATGCCTCGAAATGGGGTGAATATTTCAAAACATCATCTGTCGAATTGGATGCGCGCTCGTAATAAATAGGTCACTTTATTAATTTCCTCCTGCTCTTTCCAAATATCGAAACAGAACCACAAAATTTTGTCATACAGTGTTGTTTCTGAAATAAAGTAGTTTTCTGTTTTTCCTTAAGACGGACCTGGATTCTGATCTCAATTTTCATTTAGTTTTAATGTGTAATATAAGTGGAATATTTTTACCAAGCAGGAATAGATTATACAACGTGGTTCAAAAATTATGACCAGATGAATATTTTGCCAAAATCAAGATAACGTCCTGTATCTCAGTTATGAACCGTCAAAGTGTCCTCTATCTGCCAGTATCGTATGTACATTTAAGTCTAAAACACCTCGTATAACAACCTGATTTGACCCCTGATCTGGCTGTAGGTGCACTCAGAACACAAAACTTTTAGTCCTAAACTTAGATAAGCAGTTACCACTCTCATAATGTACACGACATTTAGGAACACTCTGTAGTATTATAGTTATCAATAATAAAGATAATTTACAAACCTTCGAGTAATATTGCAGACTCGTTCTGTCGAATTTTCAGCAGCAGTCCCTCCAGGAATGACCTTTGTTCGTGAAGTATCACATGCATATGCAGTTGAAATTGAACACCGGCGCCTAGAAGATAGTGATTCAAGAATTTTTTTGTAGGACATTGTTATTTTCGAATACCTTACAAACGGATGTTTTTCCAGAGAGCTACAGTTTGGTGGCATCTCCAACGAAAGGTTACAGCCATATTTGTTGTCCATCAATGCTCGTAGTTCCACTATACATGATTCTATAGGTTCCAATATTTCACTAGCACTTCTGAAGATCAAAAAACTATGAAATGCAAATTCCACGTATATTTTGATACCCCCTGTAGTTTATTATCGTAGTAGATAAAAAATCTAGTCGTTAGGAATTTATAAACCGACAGATTATGTATCCACATTTTCTCTGGAAGTGATTTTTTATTCATGACACTAATTTTTTGTGAAAAATATAAACTTCCCATCCATTGGGTGATCTAAAATGCAACGTTGATAATTTTAACAAAATATTTATGAACTTTTTCAAAATTACACTTCCAGAAAAATGTAGATATTTCAATCAGTTTTATTGTTTTCGATAAACAACAAAAATTCAGACCATGAAAGAAGGATCGGAGTAAATGAAAACATGGAATACGTATCGCATTGATAATATTCAACAACAAAACGATATTCGTTTTCTAATGAGTATATTATAATTTAAATACATTTTTACACTCACAATTATCACCAACTACTGCCTATTTTTTCAGCTAATTTTTCACTAGACTAAACTAGAAAATACACCGCATGAATAATTTCTTCAACAAATTAATTTGTTTCTATACACATAATACAAGAGACTAGTGATGTTAGATAAAAATTACTAAATTGACCATAATTTACTTCATGACAAATTCTAACCGAATCATGGACAATATGTCCTTTTTCAACAATAAATCATAAAATATTTGTTATAAATGTGGTTTATTCAATTGATAGGGAGCAGTTTATTTACTTAATTAATTTCATGGATCAAAATGAGTTTACACAGTAGCAATGGCATTCATGTCATTTATACCAATATCAAATTCTCATGCCATTTGGAAAAAGTTTACATACCACAATATTTTATACTATAATACAATATATTTACATCACTAGTTTCAACGAAAAAGATAATATCAGAAATCAATACATTTGTCTTTATTACAGTGTACCTAATGGATTTGTATCGTTTAAGCAAATTTTAATGTCTACAATGTTTAAAAAAATAGAAAAAATAAAAAATTTAACTAAAATTTCGCATTCACGATGTATCACAAGATATAAATGTTTGCATTCTGTAGTAGTCGATACTACTTCACTTGATTCAATTCAAAAATTTAGGTGACACAAGAGGTAAGAGATTTTAGATGGCATAATAATGCTGAAATTTCAATTGGACTTCGAAACACTACACCTTTTTTAATAGTAATTCAGGAAGTATCAAGTTGTAATTCAGAATACAATTTGAAATTGAGATTTGTTAACTGTAATTCAAAAAGCATAACATGTAATCCAGATTAGTAAAGAGCAATTCAGCAATTCTAAATAGTCAATTATAATCCAGAAAGCATAATTCAAAATTGATTCAGGGTTTCTTTATAAAAACTTTCAGCATTCAAGATATAACATTCCCAAACATTTAAGACTTAAGAGTGGATTCAATTATATGAAAAAAATAAGATTCTTCGTCATTACTGACATCTAGTTTCTTATACAAAACACGATTTGAAAGTTAAGTAATAAGTTGGAAACTGGTTGCAAATCAAAATTTCATGTTCTGATATCATTCTATCAATTTATATTCATATCCCTGAAATGACAGAAAAACTCCCGACGAGTTTTGAACAAGGAATCTTGAACAGAAAGATCGCATCTTCCAAACACTGCATTCCGATTGAAAATCCATTAATTTTTCAAAAAGTTATGACAGTTTGAAAATTGTCGAAAATTTCAGTGGTCCACTTGTTTCTTTGAGCACTTTATAAAATATGCTGATATTCACCGCATTTTTATTAAACGATTCATTGTTCTCATTATTAACTAGTCCTGGTGGTATATGAATTACAAGTGTTAATTTTGTATTCCCAATAATTGACGCTTTCTGAATCATAATCAACTATTTCGAATTTCAACTCACACTTTCTGAATTCCATTTCAGTAATCTGAATTACCTACCTGTATTTCACCTGACGATCGAAGCTACTGTGTTAGCAAAACATGTCGTATGTTTCAATTTCTAAATTACAATACACAAATATGAATTACAATTGACGCTTTCTGAATTAGCATCATCTATTCTGAAATACATTTTTCTAATCTGAATTATAAGTTTAACTTTCTGATTTACAATTGACAAAAGTGTAGTGGATAAGCCATTTACTTACCACATCCATTTTCAAATAGGAGAGCTCTTATTTTATTGGGAATTTGCATCAGTTGATAAACAAGAATTGTATAGAATGGACAATATGAAACATTGACCTAGCACCTCTATTTGAAGAATGCACATAGCTAATGATCCCTATATCGCCCTATATCGTTTTTAAATACTTACTGAATTGCCAATGTCTAGAAAATTATT